GTATAGAGAGGATAAGGGTTACGAGTAGTACATATATATTTTCTTTAGGCAATAGGAAAAGCCTTTGATGAAGGAGTCGGAGGGGAAGAACCAACAAGAGAGGGCGATGAGTCAGCCAGAGTCAAGTCCACAGGAGGGACAGTCTTACGACGTTGATATGTGAGAAAAGAAAGGTCCTCAGGTTTGGAAACAATAGGTTGCTCCTCTGGGATAGAATCACCTGCAGCTGGTAAAGACAAGTCAAGGAAAGGAACGGGAAGAACATGATCAACCTGTGACAACTGAGATGGGATAAAATGAAAGGGTTGTTGATCAAGAAAAGTGACATTAGTGAAACAAGATAACGCTTAAGATCATGAGAATAACAATAATAACCCTTTTGAAGAAGAGAATAACCTAGAAAAATACGCTTAAAAGTTTTGGATGTTAACTTGTTCTTACCAGGAGTGAGATCATGAACAAAACTGGTACAACCAAAGACATGTGGGGATAGAGGATAGAGAGGAGAGTCTGGAAGCAACAAGTTATAGGGAATGTCATTTTAAGCACAGATGAAGGCGTGCGGTTGATGAGAAAACAAGACGCAAGGACTGCATCGGCCTAGAAGTGAAGAGAAGAGTTCGAGCAGTTTCAATGAGATGTTTGTTTTTACATTCGGCCACTCCATTTTGTTATGGAGTGTGAGGACAAGTAGTTTGGTGTAAAGTACTCTGTGTGGTTAAAAAATTAGAAAAATCAATAAAAACATATTACTTAGCATTATCACTACGTAAAATACGAATAGAAGCCCCAAATTGAGTATGAATCTCGGCAGAATTTTTTTTTAAATAGGGAATAACTCAGTGATTCTTCATTAAATAATTCCAGGTACAATGGGAATAATGATCAATAAAAGTAACAAAATACCGAAACCCAAAAACAGACAAACTACGACTTGGACCCCAAATATCTAAATGAATAATTGAAATGGAAGCATCAGTTCGTTTATTGACTCGTCTGGCAAAGGAGGAGCGTGTGTGCTTCTCTTGCTGACATGACAGATCTAACCCAAATCCTAAATAAGAGAAAGAATGTTTACAGATACGATCGTAATCTTATTCTAACAACCCCAAACATAATCTAGTGCCTCCTGCAACCTATCTTTCTTTGCAACTGTGTTCACTATGCGCCACATGTTCCAATGGTCTCCTTCAAAATGCAATTATTGCCTACCACAATGGGGGAAGGTTCTGATTGTGGCTGGCCACCACTAACAAATGAGCTCCTTTGCTTTCAACGTTATGTCAAGAACCTTCTTGTTTGCGTAAAACTAGCTGAAGTTCATCTTGGAGGTGGGCCCCACCTTCTGGTTTTTGTTGAAAAGCATGAACAAGTAGACAGGCAGATCTGTTGTGGGTCGTATAAAGGGTCTCATTACCCATCAAGATCATACGGGTAAAATTTCCATTGCAAGCAACCTTGTTCTTTACGCTCTCACCCCATCTTAATAATAAGCATTTGATGTCTACTCTGGTGTCCTCTTTGGTGAATCCTTTGTTTCTCCAGTTCGCACAACAACAAATGAAGCAAGTGAAGGAACGAGAGTGTAGGAATATTTGTATTGTTATTCATGAAGGTTCCTAGGCTTGCTTGATTGAAACTAATTGTTGTTTTGGGCTTAACTAGGTCAGATAAATTCACGGCCTAATCTCTCCCTAAAACAGAGGTAAAGAAACCAATTGTTCGAGTTTGGAATGAATTGATAAAGGTTCGGGCCTGATAGCTCATCATGTCAGTGAATTGACTCCATCTCTGTAATTTGTCCCGCATTTGCCATTTTATTTTGTTTATTTCTTATTTTGTTTAGAGTCGTGCCAAAGAAGCTCCTCTTTCGTCTTGCGAAGGTTCCAGTTCGGTGGTGGTTCGGGTAATGATGGTGGGTCGGCCACTTCCTTCGATGGCTGTGTTGATTTGCTACCCACATTCATCTAAATTCTTCATCTCGCAATATTCCCACTCATTTGATGATTCTATTTAGGGAATTGATCCTTTGTTACGCATCTGGATTACACCTACACTAATAGGGCTTCCTATTCTTTGTTTTTATAGAACTTTACTTTTAAATCTCGTGTATTAAACCATAGTTGTGTTGGGTAATTTAGGATTATGTGACTATGATACGATCCTAGTTAGCAAAAGGGTATTATGTTAGAAGGTGCAACACATGCAAAGAGTGGAATTGATCCAGCCTAGCTGACGTGGCTGATGTGGATAACAGAATTGGAGAGATTGTTAAATAGGGTAGTGTGCATTGGTGTAAGGGGGATCTGAAATCTTTGGCAATTGCTTGGGCCCTTTTTGGGATTGGGAGAGAGTGGAACCTCTCATATGTGTCCCACACTATCTTACTTTTCCTTGCATTGTGATTTCTTTCTGGTTATTGTAATTTCTTTCTATCACTGTAATTTCCTGTTTTCTACAAGATAGTTGTAAACGAGTCTTTGTGTAATCGTTGTTATTTCCATATATAAAAGTAGAATATTCAGATCCATATTGCTGTGTTATTTCCTTTATTTCAGTACATCAGTGGTTGGTCTGTATCAATTGGTATCAGAGCTCTCTGATCTAGGGAGCTTTGAAAAATAAAATAAAAATGGAAAAGCAATTTCGCAAAACCAGAATTCCTATATTTTCTGGTGTAGAAGATGCGTGGGGATGGTTAATCCAGGCTGAGAAGTATTTTAAGGCATATGGAATTTCAGATAATGAAAAGCAAAAGGAAGTTGTGAAGCGGTTCACTGGTGAAGCTCGCATTTGGTATCGATTCTGGATCTGGCAAAACCCAAGAGCTAGCTGGTGGATATTTTTAAAAGCATTCTTCAACGAATTCCAACCAGAAATTTGTTTTGTAGATGATGAACCAGAACCAGAAAATAAAACGTTGAAGGAGGAGATGATCGAAGGTGATGAAAAGATGAGAGAGGAGGTTCAGGGGCTGCTCAAACATGCAGATCCAGAATCTGCGAAATTAGAGAAGGTGCAAAAAATTGAACAAGTTCAAAATATGGAGGTCGAATCAGAACTTCCACAACCAGAAATAGAGTTGCCAAAAGAAATTTGGTTGGAGGAGACCGAGATCATGCAAGGAGTAACATGCAGAGAAAAATCAGAGGAAACGCACGTTCCAATTGGAAACAGTGAAGACGACCCTCCGGAGAGACATCATCAAGTTATAGAGATTTCAGAATTTATTAGAGTTCACAATACCAACAAGATGTTCCTCAGTTTGGGCCAAACAAAAAATATAAACGAAGACCATGGGGAGTTGGAGGTTGAGAAGATTTTTCCATGTGCGCGGGTACCAGCAGCGCTGCCACCAACGACGACGGCGGACGACCCACCGCCTTGGCCGGAACCACCGGATTTAAAGAGCGCAAGGGAACCGGTGGTGCCACCATCACAGGAAGAGGTGGCTGACCCACCAACGGGATCTGACCCACCGAAAGTGAACCCTCATGTGGAAGGGGAGAAGGCTTCGCCGATACCACAAATAAGAGAGGAACAAATTAGGTCAGTGAAAGGCTTAGGAGATATGGGCCAGTTTGCTAGCATAATGGAGCAGGCCCAAAACATTCTGGACCAACACAGGTACATAAGTCTTTTTTATGTTAACGATGATATTGGGCCGGGCTTACTCAAGCCCCAAAACATAAGTTTAGACCCATCGAACTTGAGAATTGCTAGCAATACCCTAGAAGTTGATGGGACTCTCATCAAGACTGCAAGTGCTAATGTTGACGCTTAAGAGAATAACGTCGTCTTTGCTACAAAGGATACTACTTTTGTTTTCAATTGTCGGGTGGGTCTGGGCAGGATAAACACTGAAGTAGTTGCATCTTACCTTGGGAAGCTTCGATTTGATCATTATAGGTTCATTAAATTACAAGGAGATGTGACCCATGAAGAATTGGAGGCTGGTTCTTCAAGTGGAGATAAAACTATGGTTAAATTTGTGGAATTTTGTAGGGAATATGCTCTTGACATCTTGGAACAATGTCAAAACAGATTTTGCATAATTCATGGTGAAAAACAGAATATTTTGAATGCTGGATTTTCTGGAAATTTTGGAAGGGGTGAAGAACAAGAATGGGCATTGTTAGATTATGTGAAACAGGGGCTGGATTTGTTTGAAGCAAAGCAATTTTCCATTGTCGTTAATTCTTTTCATCAACTTGATGAGGGTGTTGAGTCTACTAATGAAAATCTGATATTGGAAGCTCGTGTTACTTGCTTTGTGAAAACAAAGGCAGAGACACTTATTTACAAATTTGCAAATAAGCTTTCAAGTGCAGAAGCAGAGTGGGACCCTGGTGGGCACTCTTATGTTTTAGGTATCCATTGGCCTATATTTTTCACACAGTGGGATCCCGGTGGTGGAGGTTACGTAGCCTCGTGCATTAGCTGGCCATTATATTTCAAGCAATGGGATCCCGGAAAATGATCATCACCTTGAGGACAAGGTGATTGTTAGGGGGGGAGTATTGATACGATCCTAATTAGCAAAAGGGTATTATGTTAGAAGGTGCAACACATGCAAAGAGTGGAATTGATCCAGCCTAGCTGACGTGGCTGATGTGGATAACAGAATTGGAGAGTTTGTTAAATAGGGTAGTGTGCATTGGTGTAAGGGGGATATGAAATCTTTGGCAATTGCTTGGGCCCTTTGTGGGATTGGGAGAGAGTGGAACCTCTCATATGTGACCCACACTATCTTACTTTTCCTTGCATTGTGATTTCTTTCTGGTTATTGTAATTTCTTTCTGTCACTGTAATTTCCTGTTTTCTACAAGATAGTTGTAAACGAGTCTTTGTGTAATCGTTGTTATTTCCATATATAAAAGTAGAATATTCAGATCCATATTGCTGTGTTATTTCCTTTAATTCAGTACATCAGTGGTTGGTTTGTATCAGACTATCATACATTCATACTTAATGTCTCACGTGTTTAATTGCCTTTCTAGATCGATTTACTTCCTCCTCCACTGGGTGAAGGGTCATCTTACGAAGCTTTAAGCAAGGACCTGCGCCCATCCTTGGACTGGTGCCCAGAAAAAGGTTGGACAGTGCCTCTGCCTACGGTGTGTACTTATAATCCTATAATTTGACTTGTCTTTCTATTTATTTTTTATTTTGGTATGTATGCATATATTTTCTAGTTAAATTTTGTGCCAAAATTATCTCTATTCATATATAATATGATATTTCTTGCATATAAGTTGAAAGTGTCAATTTTTAGTTTGGTTCCTTACATTTTGTAAGTGTTGATAATTAGTATATATGTCTAAGTTCAATGTGTCATTTGCAGATCCCCTATACTATATTGTACTTCCTTGTATTCTAGCTTAATTATCTGATTATGAAGAGACTTGCACCATCCAAGTTGGGAACTGTCTTCCCAAATTTCCATCTTGTATACACGGTGTCACGGGCCTAGTAGTTTTCTTCTTCCTTCATTTATTCAATCCCAGAAAAATAAAAAATCCCAGAAAAATAAAAAACACATGCGTGACCTAGGTCATGTCCTATTTGTGATAGGTCTTTAGTCCTTTACTACTATCAATAGTTTTCAGTGGTAGAGGCTTATTATATGACAATAAGTTGCATATAGAGATTTGTAGCAAAAGAGCTCATTGGAATGAGACCAAAGAAGAATGGAGTCAAAAAGTGGTCCTCTTGGTCCAAAAGGTCTCCGAAATTTTTTTTCGTTGACGGCTAGTGGCGGCAAGAGGCTAACAAATAGGATTCTGCTCTAAAGGCGGCCGTTGCGGAAGCAGAGCCCTTAGGATCGAGAGCTCTGATACCAAGTTGAAAAAAGAGATAGTCTTATTGATAAAATTGTGTATTACATCTGTACAATTGCTCTCTATTTAAAGAGACTAAATAACCTAATGTCCTAAGCCCAAAGAAGATTCTAGAATGAAAATAAATAAACAATTATTATTATTTACAACAATATTATATTTCTCTAACAATGATATTACAAGATATTGATCTTCTAAACATCATCTATCATTCAGTGTTTTGGAAATGACAAAAAAAGAAGCAGCTTATCACAGTTACGACATTTTTTCTTAACTAGAACTAAAGCTGCTTTATTTTGATTTGAATTGTGTCAGGGTTATCCCAAATCTCAAAATCACACAGATTGCTTCTTTTCCTAGTTTAAACGATGCTTGGACATTTATAAGCTACCCTGAATGTTTAGCAAGGTTGAAGACACGTAAGGTTTAATTGCAATCTTCCATTAACACATAATGGAAAATAGTGGAATATTAGGATCAATGGCTGATTGGGTTATATGGTCTTATGGGTAGATGTAAAGAAAATGAGAACAAATTCCTGATTTGAATAAAACATATTTTTTAAATAATGAGAAAATGTGCAGATCAACAACAGCAACAACAAAAGCCTTTTCCCACCAGCTGAGATTGGCTACTTGAAAATGAAAACAAACTTACACCTCCACTAATCATTGTGTCTTGAAAATTTTGCTGTCATGATATCATTGGTTTCAAATATTGAAGAGTATCACAATCCTTGTTTCAATTAATTGCTTGTCTTGATACTGTAGATGGTTGTGCTGCTATGCTTGAAGTTTGTTTATGTTAAAAGATCATTTACATATCTCAGTTTGCATTATCAACGCTTCATTTTCTTGCAAAAGTTGCAGGAGGATGGATGCAGGCGTCCTTGTGTTCGTATAATGAAACCGGCAAATTCAGGTAAAACAGAATTAAAATATATGGTTTTGATTTCTTGCCTTGGAATCAAATATTTGTTGGCCTTGGTTTACTAAGTGTGCAACCAAGGTGAAAACTGCAGGGTTGTTTCTGATTTGAAGATTAATTTGGCTAAGGGAAAATGGTGGGTATAAATGTGGATGACAGGATCCTTTCCTTCCTTGCTTCTTTGGCTCGTTGTTAAATTATGCAATGAGCTCCCATTTATTTGTTTCTTAAGATGATCATTGTTGGCCCATTTTTGTTTTGGGATCCAGTAATTCAAACTGTATCCAAATGCTTGGTTGGTTGGAAGGTGATGGGCCTAAAAGTGAGTGGACCATTAGTTAGTTATTTTAGAATATTCTGCAAGTAGGATAAAAGGTAGGCAATGTGTGTAGTGTGAGTATGCATGAATTCAGAATTGGTTAGTGGGAAAATTGGGAGACCTCTAGCCTAGGTCTGTTGGTTTAAGGGGGAGTTGTGGTTTCTTTGGGGTTTATTTTCTGCATTTTATATTGTATTAGTGTATGTAAAAAGAGGCTATGTCTCCATTGTTAATGAATTCAGTATTGTATTTTTCTGGGTTCCATCAATTTGGTATCAGAGCACGTCCGATCTAGGGGGTGTTTCTGGTCCAGATCTAGAAAAAAAATGGTAGAAATCAGTGAGTGTAGGGAAGGTTTAGAAAAAATGATGAAGGTGTTGGATAAAACAATTGAGTGGATGAAAACACGGAGACTTGAATACGAGAAGATGGAAGTCATAATGTTTTAAAAAAATCGAAGAAGAAACTGAAGCAAAAGCGGAAAAAGAGGAGAAATCAGAAGTGGAAGTGGAAGCAGAAGAAGAAAAAAGTGGAAGCGCAGCAAAAGAAGACGGAAAACTTATCGAAGAAGAAGAGGCAGAAATAATCGCAGAAGAAACCGACAAAGAAAAAGAAGAAGAAAAAGAAGAGGAAATAACAGGATGCATAGGAAACGAAGAAGGTGAAGTGCAGGAGTTTGACGAAGAACGAGAAGAAGAAAGATCAGTGGTTGAAAAAGAAGACGAAGTCAGATCTGATACAAGGATACCGTGCGCGAACAGATCTGGAACCAACAGGGACATTGTGCGCGAACAGATCTGGAACCAACAGGGACACTGTGCGCGAACAGTGGCAAAGACCACGAACAGAGACAAGGGTGGCGGCACAAGCAGTTCAGGCCTTTGGTTTTGCTGCTCACCGGAGAAGATCACTGACGCAGACATGCTGCTGGCCAGACGTGCTTGACCAGGGACAACCCAAAGAAGACGAAGAAGACGAAGAAGGTGTAGAAGAAATAGATCAGCAATGTAAAAAAAAGGCATAAAGAAGAAGGTTATACTGCAGTCGCTCACAGCAAGTCCACAAGCGACAGACGGCAGTTTGATTCTCGAGAATTTGCAATAGAAGTGGCCGCTGGATGATGGAGGGATCGAATGGAAGCATAGGACCATTCATCGTACGTTAATTGAGTGGGTTGAAGGAGATGGAAAGAGAGGAAGGGAAGACTTGGAATTCTGCCATATGGGTTTCCATTTTAACATTTTGGGCTTGGCCCAAAAGATATGGTGGTTGACAGGAAGCAAAATTGGCTTTATCCAATCAATTCAAATTACTTCAGCAGATATATAGGACCAAGCAAAACTTGTGATAAAATTTAATAATTGGGTCCTAAAATAAATAAAGGCCCAAGAGCTGCATGGGCCCAAAGAGGTTAATGATGCTTCAATTAGGCTTTATTGCATGGCCAGAACTTCCAAAGAAAACAAAGCTGGTTCAGTGATAAGAAATGCCAAAGAAAACAAAGCTTGTTTTGTGGCCAAATATGCGGAAGAAAACTTAGCATTAGAAGACAACAAAGGCACAAAAATTTGCAATGGTGCAACTGGATACAAAAGCAACGTGTTAGCTTCAAGTATAATTAGGGGAATTTGTTTCAAGCAATGAGATCCTGGTGGAAGTTCAATCACACCCCTTATCCTCTTTCTTCACCTTGAGGACAAGGTGAGTTTTGAAGGGGGAGTATTGATGTGCCTAAAAGTGAGTAGGCCATTAGTTAGTTATTCTAGAATATTCTGCAAGTAGAATAAAAGGTTGGCAGTGTGCGTAGTGTTAGTATGCATGAATTTAGAATTGGTTAGTGAGGAAAGTGGGAGACCTCTAGGGAACTCTTGAGCCTAGGTCTGTAATCTATTGGTTTAAGGGGGAGTTGAGGTTTCTTTTGGGTTTATTTTCTGCATTTTATATTGAATTAGTGTATGCAAATAGAGGCTATACCTCCATTGTTAATGAATTCAGTATTGTATTTTTCTGGGTTCCATCGGAAGGGAGCTGTTTTATTCTTGTGTGGTTCTGTTACCCTTATACAAGTCTGTTTATTCAACATTTCCATTTATTATCTCTCCTTTTTTGCTTACCGGCTGGTTTGGCTCAAACCCTTATGAGAAATATGAGGAACCTTCATTGGTTTGGTGTGGGGGGAACCAAGTGTAGATCCCTTGTTAGTTGGAAAGTTTATTGCAAGCCTAACAAGGAGGAGAGGGGGTTGTTCTCGGAATTTGATGTCTGAGGACTTTTGTTTTGCCTGCTAATTGCTGGGGCTTTGTCCTAGTGAGACTGCTTTGTGAATTTTGGTACCATTTCATTTAGAGGAAGTATGATTTACAGCGGAATGAATGGATTTCAAACATCGGACATGGCCACTCATCACTCGTGTGTTCTTGGAAGTTTCTTTTATCTAGGATACGTTTCTTTTTTTACCATCAATTTCGAGGTTGAATGTGTCAAGATATCAGAAGAGCTTTTTGGGAAATACTGATTTTCTCTCTTACAATTCTCATTAAATAGACAGTAAGTCAAATGCTTTACAAGGGAAGGAGAGATTATGGAGATCTTCTAAAGTCTAAATTATAATTCCCTGAAAACTAGGATTTATACATGATAAGAAAAAATTATAAACCTTACTGTAAACAGATAATAAACATGTTACATTAATAAAAATGTAACAGCCTGCGCTATACTCTGAACAATTTGCCAACAAGAAACTGATGCCACTGTCTAGTCATAGATTTGGTGAAATCATTAGCCACCTGAAGATATGTAGAAATGTAAGGAAAAGAGATGACCGGATTGTCCAAGACTTCCCTGATATAATGGCAGACAAGTCATCAGAGTAAGTAAGAGATGTGGTAAGGTTCTTATTACCACTAAAATTCACAATCAGATCTCAAGAATTTTAGATTGGCAGAGAATTGAGTCTCAAGTAGTGCAACAAAATTCTTGAAGACAAAAAACTTTTGCCTTATACTGAAGGAAGTACACTCTTTAGGTAGGAAGGGAGAAAAGAGGAAATAAGAACTGAATAATCTAAAATTGATATTGATTTGTGTGTTATAATGTGATACAAACTCCAATGCACTTATTCCTATTTATATTAATATTAAATTACATGTCATAATGAAATAAGGAGCTAAAGTATGAAGTATCAATAAATAAGGAAATTATTCCTAAGAGATCATATAAGATATGAGAAATTATTCTAAGATACCATAAAGATATTATGAGACATATTTTATGTATTCCAAGAGCCTTTTCTTCTATAATTTTCTACGAATTTCAAGAAAATTCCAGATCGCACGATTCTGGAGATAGTTATATGGTTGACTTTTATCATTTTCTCTAATTTCTTGCATTAAATTCATCAAACTCTTTAGTTCATAACAGGTTCCTTCTACAAGCCCATTTTGAAATCTGAAACTTGTTCCAAGGTCAAGTTTTTTGTTGGAATTTATTTCTTAACAGAAATAATATTTCATTTATAAATCAAATTGATTCCTAATATTAGTGATTCCAAACATACACTTGAAGATTTGAAGAGATTGGAGGTCGAATACTTCTTCAGTGTTCTTTTTGGAACATGCCTTTTGTCATGCAATTCTCGTGTTTTTACTAAGTACTTTACTTTTGGGGACAAAATTGTTTAGTAATTTTTGCTGTTTAACCTCAACCTTTTTTGTTATTCCAGGGGTTATTGTGAACACCCATGCTACAGATGTAGCAGTGCAGGTTGATCACCCTACAGTAAGGACATATTCTTTTCATTCGTCTCAAAATTTTGAGGGTCTCTTGGACTCTCAAGATGGATCCATGGCAAGGAGAAAGCAATGCAACATTGCTAGAAATGGTAGGGAGATTGGCGGGACTGACAATAAAGTTGAAAGAACTTGTTTTTCAGATAGTGGTATTATGGGCGCATCAATTGAGAATTTGGAAAGGGCTACCATAAATAGTGGATATAATGATGAGAACCCCACAAAGAAGATGAGAAGCAACGGAAGCCTTTGTCTGAATTCCATGTCTTCCAATACGATAGATGCTGCAATTTTGGATTTGGAGGAACTTGTAAATAGGATTAAATGGTTAAGGGATGTGTTGAATTTGGGGGTGCCTTTGTCAGGTACTGCCCAGCCATCTTGGGAATTTTCGCATCATGCGCCATGCAAATGATTGCTTTCTAATAAAAGTAAGACCTCAGCATAAATTTTGTGTTGAATAATGAATTCAATCTCGTGTTGTAGATAGTGCTTTGTCTTTACAGCTAATTTGGAATATAGTAGTTTGTTATTTTTGGCTCGCGTTGGTATTTCCTCCCTTTGTTTTCTTATTTGGCTTTGCATTGGAATGTAAGACCTCAACCAATGTTGTAAATAGTAAAAACTAGTTTAACTAAAGAGCCAGAAAGGATTGTACCAAAAAAAGAGAGCCAGAAAGGAATGTTAGGAATTGTAAATGGATGAATTTTGGTTTGGGTCACAAGACGAATAAATAATAAGCTATTAATCTATTTGGGATATATTATATAATTATTAAAAAAATTCAATCGAGTCATGATCAAATTTGATAGATAGATATTAAAAAAATAATCCAGTTTAATGGATTGGACTAATTAAAAAAGAAAATTATCTAAAATAATCATTTTGTAAAGTTTATTATCGTTAACCGCATAAAGCACAATGACATTCATTCTGTGGTTAGATTAAATAATAACCTTAAGATTGAACGTGAGTTAAGGGCATCCGTTTACTCAACTTTGTTTACCTTAATGCCAACCTGTTGAATAACGGGGAAAACTAATAAGAGAAATCTTGTGAAGCATGGCCTAGCAGAAACCCAAGCATCTCATTTCTGTGTTTCACCATAGAATGATAGAACAGAATTTCAAATCAAAATTCAAAACTTTGAAATTGATTTGCTTGTGCAGAATAAGAATATTTCTTTTTCTCTATTTTTGTAGTGGAACTTCACGAGCAACAATGATGGCCCAATGAAAGTTCCTGGATAATATGGCATGGCTCGTGATTACTTATAATTGAATTTATTTGAATTGAATAACAGAGTGAGCTTGAATCTGCTTCCATGATAACACTACCCGGGGGGATGGTTTCCAAAAACAACGATTGCCCTTATATATTGTGTGTGAAATGGTTTCCAAATTTTTTGTTTACAAACTACACTAACTATGACCGGTCATACTTCAATCAAGAGTGTATGACTAGTCATACTTAGTATAATTTGTAAAAAATAATTGTAAAGAGATCATTTTCCTATTATAAAAAGAAACTACAAATACAACATTTCTAAAGATAAAATTATGCTTGAAAAGTTAGATATATATGCATTAAATTTGCAGCATATGATAAGTTTTGGAAAACATGAATATTTTTTAAACTTTTCAATCTTCTACATAATAATTTTAAGGAATTTATACTTCTTATGCAACATAAGAATAGCTTTCTTATGCTACACTCACATTGTTTTACGTGCCAGTGTTTTTAATTTATTTTTATTTTTTTTTTCAATGGAACCCATCTAAGTATGTGTGTGTTGCAAAAATTCTCATCTTATGTGACATAAAAAGTATAAACCCCTAATTTTAATAATTGAAAATGAGCAACCAACAAAAAAATGGAAAAGATAAAATTGTAGTTGTCAAGCAAATAGATTCCGAAGTAAAATCATGCAACGAGTGAAAGTCAAACAAAGAGCTCATAAAATAAACAGCATAGCAAGAGAGGGAGATAAAGATAAACCAATGTTATTAAATTTGGACCGATGATCGACCCGATCGGAGTATCGGGTTAGTGGGTCACTGATTCAAGGTCACTGGTTCAACCGCAGGAATCGAATATGTATATAAATTTATATTTTATACTTAATTATATAATAAATATTTTAAATGGTACAAATGAACCAAGATTGAAATATAGCTTAGTGGTAAATACTACAATTTTTATCTTCACAGTAAAAGTTCGATTCCCACTAGTTGCAATTTTTAAATAATCCTATTAAATGATATATATATATATATATATATATATATATATATATATATATATATATCTATATATAAATTAAATGGTGCATATTAACCAACAAACAAACTCAGCTAAATGGTAAGTTGTTATTGGGCATACTCGTGAGACTCAAGTTTGAATCCCAGCGGTTTCAAAATTGAAATTATTTTTTCCAATGCAAGAATCGGACCTGTTAATGAGACGATTTTCGGGTCAACCGGTCGAACCGGCCAGGACGGACTGGTTTTCTCAACATTGAGATAAACAAATCATTAATATAACCCGTAAAACACACCTTCATTGTGTTCATTTATACATGAATATTGCAAATCTAGACATGCTAAAAATGATTCAGAGGTTAAAACAATACAGTAGCAAAATTAACTCTCTCTTTTTTTGGTGTGGAAATTAACTCTTTTATCATAGGACAGAAAAGTGAAACTCGAGAATACGAAGAAAGCTAGTTAAGGCTGCCTTACCCCAATTCTAACAGATGATTTTATAATATATAAAAAAAAAAAAATTCAAAATAGGGGTGAAAATAAGTCTATGTAAATCCACTGATTCGACTAACTTGACTTGACTGGAAGTAAAAAAATCCACTTTAGTTCGAGTTTAAGAGGGTGCAAGTGAATTAAACAACCCAAACCAACCCTAATCCCTATACTTAAAATTGTGTGCTGTGATGGCTCTCAAATGACAAACCCTATCAATTATCATGATCATGATCATTTTCAACTCTCCTTTCTCTTCCTCCCTAATCCCTACCCTCCGATTACTTGTGCCTATTTTTGTCCTTCCCTTCGAGTCAATTATTTCTCATACGTAATCTTAAGTGCATAAATTGGTCAATATACATTAAGGCCTTTAAGTATGTCAACAAGCATTTAAATAGGTGAACAAACTTGTTATATTCTTATTAACTGTTGATTCTTCTTGTATTTAAAAATTCTTATCCTCAACAAATACATTAGAATTGTTAGATGCACAGCGGAGCACATTCAAATAAAAGACTTTTAACTAAATTCAAAAGACTTTTTTCAAAAGTCTCAAAACTTGCTTATTTAATTAAGAGTAGAGTTATATTGACAAATTTTACTTTTACAAACTAAATTATGTCTTACCGGTAATACTCTACTCAAAAGTGTATTACCGATCGTACATAATATAGTTTGTAAACAAAAAGTTTATAAATATAACATTCCTCTTTAATAAAATAAAATTTTTGACATGACATATTTCCATCCATGTCCAACACTATTAGAAAAGTCTTTATTATCAACGGAATTTTTCGACGGAAAAAATTCCGTCGAAATTATTGACAGAATTTTCAACAGAATATGTGTTCCGTCAAAATTTTTGACGGAAAATCGATTTCGTCAAAAGTTTTCGACGGAAAATGAATTATGTTGTAAAGTTTTTTACGGAAAATAAATTCCGTCGAAAACTTGTTGAAAAATTAAATAAAAAAGAACATATATTTGTTAGGTCATGTTGCCTGTTGTTCTTCATAAATCATGGGTTATATGAGGATTTTCACTCTTTCAGAGCTCATTTTTTGGCATTCAATACGTTGTTGAACCCAAGCATGGAGGCAGTAGTGAAATTTGTTAGAAAATGGTCAGACATATTCAGCGTTTGGGCCATCTACTCTCTCTCTCTCCCCCCCTTGCTTTTCGATACCACAACGCAATTTTTCTCCTCTTCGACATCTTCCTTTGGAACAGTCACCAAAATGTCACTGTTACCTAACTTTTTTTCCTAAATGCCACGTCAATAGTGTTAATTCTCAATATGCTACGTGGACAAGTTCGCTGGGCACTGTAGCGAACTCAGTTTGCTAATGTATCACATTCTTGGTGGACACCAAGTTTGCTACTTCAGGTAGCGAACTTAGTTACAATTGATGCCCCTGCACGTTTTCACCTGCCACGCCACATGGAAGACATGCAACGAAGTTCACTGCCCACTCCAGTGAACTACGTGTAACGGCTAAGATGACTCATGGCAGACATGCATTAAGTTTGCTAGAATTGTATCAAAAAAAAAATGGAACACATCATTACAGACGACAAGCACAACCATAAATCATCAATTAATCATGAAGAAGAATAACATAAAGAGAAATGTCAAAACTAGAGAAAACATATGAGAGTAAAAAAAGAACATTCCTTGGATTTGAGAAAAGGCTAGGGGAAGATTGTGAGACACTGCGATATAGAAATATCAAGAAAACTCAGGGATTAGGATGAGGTTGTGAAAGAGGCATGCTATTTATACTTCTTACTAAAAAGTCTCACAAAATCCACACTAATAGAAAATTCATTAAATCATCAAATTTTTGAATACCATAAAATCATTTTTCCTTTCTTTTTTTTTTAAATTCCGATTGAATATCATCGGATTTGGAAGGATTCTAAAACAATTTTTTATAATTTTAATCGAATACCACATGACTCTTTTTCAATCATTTAAAATCCTAATTGAATACCAATATTTTTTTTTATCCAAAAATAATCCATTAAAATCTCAATCTAATACACCTCTTAAATAACACACACACACATATATATATATGAAGGATATTGTAACAACCAAGTTGTGTTACTACCATGTTACTACCAATCAATCTTACCGTTAGATCGATTATGTTGATCTAACGGTTATATTTATTTCCATCTTTGTATGGTCATGATTTTCTAAATTTAATACTTTATACTTATTTCCACCTTTGTGTGGTTATGATTTTTCATATTTAATGCTTTCACTTTAAATATGGAGAATCATAACCATACAAAGATAGAAATAAATATAAACGTTGGATCCACATAATCAATCTGACGGTAAGATTTATTGGTAGTAATATGGTAGTAACACAACTTAGTTGTTACAATATCCTTCCCCATATATATATATATATGATGGAAGATATTGTAACAACCAATTAGTGTTACTATCAATCAATTTCATCGTTAGATCGATTATGTTGATCCAACGGTTATATTTATTTCCATCTTTGTATGGTTATGATTCTCCATATTTAACACTTTATATATATTTTCACCCTTATATGGTTATAATTTTTCATATTTAATGTGAAAGCATTAAATATAATGCTTTCACATTAAATATTTAAATATAATTCTCCATATTTAATGTTTTTCACATTAAATACGGGAAATCATAATCATACAAAGTTGAAAATAAATATAACCGTTAGGTCAACATAGTCGATCTAACGGTGAAATTGATTGGTAATAACACTAATTAGTTGTTATAATATATATACCACTCAACAACAGATGTAAATATCGATTTTAATTATTTTTTGAAATTAGTCAGCTTACTCTTTCTCTTATTAAGTTTTGATTAAAATAATATAATTGTATGCATTTTAAAAGAACAAATACTAATTCATTCTTTATTATATCAATAAAGAGAAATTACAAAATTAAATTACGTGTCTTAAAAATGTTAAAAAGAAAAGAAAAGAAAATAACGTAGCTGAAGTTTGACGTTAGATCGCAGTTGTGAAAAAATTGAAGTAACCCCTCAACTAGATTTTGTTTTGAGAGAGAGAGAGAGAGAGAGAGAGAGAGAGAGAGAGGCGCAGAGAAGAGAAGAGAGGCATGATGCGAGCCCGAAGATCTCTGCTCTCGGCCTTGATCTCTCTGCATCTGCAAATCCTATCTGGTATCTCTTTCTCTGTTCCTTGTATTTGTGTATTTCTGTTCTTCTTTCATCTTGTTGAGAATGCCATTGTTTACAATGAATGCTGATTCGAGGGTATTCAACAATTTGTGATTATTTGGTTCCAAGGTTTGCTTTGCTATAAAATAAAATTGAACAAATGGCTTATCTGGAGATTCTAATAATATTCATATTTGATCTAGTAACCGACACATTGAACTTGCATCCTATCCTTTTCTGTGCTAACAACGCTACCAAGTTATCCTTCCAAAGGAATGTTCATATAGCTATTGGATTGTCCACAGTTAGTTATCTCGCACGGGCACGGGAAAATTTCACCTGTTAATTTTGATTTATATATATAATCCGCTGAGAAAGATTCGTTTTTGGATAGGGGATAGTGTAGAGGACAGGAAAAGCAAATGTTTTAGCCTTGAAATTTTCACAATTTTCACAAGTTAATGAAACATTAATTCTGTCTCACAAATAGTGACAGATAAGCCTTTGGCCCAATGGGTTGTTACTTTGTAACATTATGTATTTATTCATAAATTTATTTATTTATTGTTTTAATTTCTTACAAGGATGCAGGAGAGGTTTCCCTTTCCTCTCTTATTGTGATTATTGGTGGCTTATGAAAATTTTGTGTCCTTGAAGGCTTGGCCAACGACCCATCAGGTGCCAAAAATGAAAATAAAGATGTGAATCATCATGCTTCAAGAAGCTCTGTCGGACTCAAGATAATTATTATATTCCTCGGTGTGGTGACAGTCATAGCATTCTGTGTTTTTCTTTTTAAATTATGGCAAAAGAAGAAGAGACAAGAGCAGCATGCTCGTCTTTTGAAGCTGTTTGAAGATGATGATGAACTTGAGGTTGAACTTGGTATGCGGGATTGAATACTTTATTCATTCACACTAGAAGAGATTCACATAAATTTATTGTCAACAAGGTAGCTATGCTCTTTTTCCATTAAACTCTAGCGTGGGTTATTTTGAAAAGTTGAAATTAGACACTGGGTTTGTTCCTCTCCTGGTTTAGCAGGGGAGATTTAGGGTTCAATTCCCATGATTGTCACTTAATGAGAATAACTTGAAGCAAGTTTATATTTTATCATTGTATACTTATTTGTAAATCATATATTGGTTCTCCGTAATAAGGTGATATCTATCAATGAAAAGTTTTTTTAGGGTGGCTATTCAGTTTGAAACTCTGTTTCCACCATAACACAGTGGCTCCAAATTGTATTCCTTCTGCACTTCTTATACGTAATTCTATGCAAATTTGCTCACTCTTGATTTCCTTTTGTAGCATGACCTAAAAAGCTAAGAAATTTAGGTTACTGATCTGCTATTAGACAATACAGTTCCATGCAATTACATCTCTAGTTCCCTTTATTGGAAGATTACAATATAATATTTATATACAGCTAAGTGCAGATGTAATTGTTGTTCATCCTATTGATATTATGAAAGCAAACTATGACATGCAGATAGAGGTTATGTAAATTGCTTTACAGTTCCCTTTACTGGAAGATTATAATCTAATATTTATAACAAGCAAATGAAGCCAAAGTATTTAACAGTTTGTTTAGTTTTTGAAAGTTTGTTGCAAGACTTAATTTGTGATGAAGAGAATGCAACACAACATCAACATCAACAACACCTTTAATCCAAGTTAATTGGGGTCGATGGTAGATGAACCCGATGATAGATAAGAGGAGATTAAAAAAATAAAAAATAAAATAATAAATAAATAAATAAAAAATGGGGAGGGGAAAATAAGATAAAAGACTAGAAGGGGAAAAGAAAGAGAGGGGGGTTTGAAGAGGAAAAGGACTAAAAGGGAAGGACTAAAAGGGATCATCTGGAAGATAAGAATAACAACGGGTTTTAACCTTCTACCCTGCTAATAGCTTTTCTCTATTCCGTCCTAAGACACATTGTCCGCCAATCTATATCTCACTCCATTAAGTCTTGTTTAACTACCTTTTCCCATGTAAGTTTCAGTCTACCTCTACCTCTCTTTGTGTCGAGTTCTTGGTAACAAACTTTTTCTCTGACAAGAGCATCCAGGGGCCGTCTTATTACGTGCCCAAACCACTTCAATCTATGCTCCCTCATCTTTTCAGTTACCGGTACTACTCCTACCTTTCTTCAAATATCTTCATTTCTTATCTTATCCATCTTCGTATAACCACACATCCACCTTCACATTCTCATTTCTGTTACTCCCATTTTATGCTCGTGTTGCCTATGTGCTGGCCAACATTCGGCTCCATATAACATTGCAGGCCTTACTGCTATTCTATAGAGTTTTCTTTTTAGCTTAAGGGAAATTTTGCGGTCACACAAAAACTCATATGCACTCCGTCATTTCATCCATTCTGCTATGATTCTATGATTTACATCTTCATCAATTTCACTACCTTTTTGCAAAATTGATCTCAGGTATCTAAAAGCATCTTTCTTGGGTACCTCTTGACCAAGTAGATGCACTGGGTCTTGATCTCCATCTCTTACTAGAGAAAACTCACACTTCATATACTCAGTCTTGCTCCGGCTTAACGTGAAACCTTTAGACTCCAAAGTGTTTCTCCACAATTCAAGTTTCTTATTAACACCATCTTTGGTCTCATCAATAAGCACAATATCATCAGCAAAAAACATACACCACTTGAATGTCTTTTGTTAGTTCATTCATCACTAAGGCAAAGAGATAAGGACTCAGAGCCGAACCTTGGTGTACACCTACTCTAATAGGAAAACAACTTAATGTTCCATTATAAGCTTTCACACAAGTAGTAGCCTCATCGTACATATCCTTGATTGCATTTATATACTTTAAGGGTATTTTTTTTTCTCAAGAACCCACCATAAAACTTTTCTTGGGACCATATCATATGCTTTATCAAGATCTATGAACACCATATGTAAATCCTTCTTTTTTTCTCGATATCTTTCCATCAATTAACGCATCAAGAAAATAGCTTCTGTGCTACATCTTCCTAGCATAAATCCAAATTGATTTGCAGAAACTTTGGTCTTTCTCCTCAAACGATGTTCAATAACTCTCTTCCATAACTTCATAGTATGGCTCATAAGCTTAATGCCTCTATAGTTAGAACAATTCTCGATATCTTCCTTGTTTTTATAAATAGGCACAAGCACACTCTTCCTCCAAGCATCAGGCATCTTATTTGTTTGAAGAATCTTATTGAAAAGATTGGTTAGCTAATTTATTGCCACCTCCCCTATGCCTCTCCACACTTCAATAGGTACGCCATCAGGTCTCAAAGCTTTATTAGTCTTCATTCTCTTTAAAGCCTCCTTGACTTCATGTGTATTGATTCTGCGCACAAATCTTCTATTTCGATCATCATAAGCATCCTCCAAGCCCACTTCGCTTTTATCGCCATCCCCATTAAAAGCTTGTTAAAGTAGTTCATCTATCTTTCATTTACATCTTCATCTCTTATCGAAAGTTTTTGGTTTTCATCCTTGATGCATCTAACTTGGGTGAGGTATTTACTTTTCTTATCCTTCATTTTTGCAAGGACATATATACATTTTTCACCACCCTTACTCCCAAGATTTTTATACAAATCGGCAAAAATCTTACCTCTAACTTCTAGCACTGCTTTCTTTGCATTTTTTCTCGCCAATCTAAACTTTTGCAAATTATTATCTTTGGAACTTTTATGCAAAGATCTAAAGCATTCCTTTTTCTGTTTAATTGCCTCTTGCACATCTTCATTCCACCACCATGTTTTCTTTGTATGGAATTCAATTCCTTTGCTTTCTCCTACCACCCTCTTTCCTACATTTTGGATACACATAGTCATCTCATTCCATAAAATCTTAGATTTCATGTAAATGGTTGGATGAGGTGAATCATGATCATGCCTTATATTAGAATCTTTAAAGTTTTGGAAACTAAGGAAAGAAGATTTAAAAGTTTTATTTTTAATCCAAATATATTTTTAAGATTTTATTTTATTTTCAAAAAGATATTTGGTAAGTTTTCTTAAAAATCATGATAATCTTGAGATTTTTCCTTAGTAATTGATTTTGAGAAAAAGTCTATAAAAATCATACATTGAGTCTTTCTTCAAAGTGAGGGTGAGTGAGCATTCAAGAGAGAAAGGTTTTGTGAGTATTCAATAGAAAAAGTGAGTAGAAAAAAAAAGTTTTGAGCATTCAAGTGAAAAAGCGCATTGAGCACATTATGAGTATTTATTCTTATGGTGCATTCAAAACTATAAAGAACCAATTCAACCCAAAAGCTTAAGCTATTGGGTGAGGTTACATTAATGATTTTATATATCTCAATATACCCCCTCACACGAGAACTCATTAGGCTTGAAGGGTGGACGATTCACAGGCCCACCTACCTGTGCGAAGAAAGAAATTCCACTAGAAAGAAAGTGGGGAGCGGTGAGGATCGAACCCGGGTACACCGAGGCTCAGATACCATGTAAAAAACCAATTCAACCCAAAAGCTTAAGCTATTGGGTGAGGTTACATTAATGATTTTATATATCTCAACACAAAAACAATTTGGGAACCAAAGGAATGTGAGTAGATTCGTTGAGTCCACCACTTAGATTTTATTTGTACCTATTTGCTTATTATTTAGAAGTAGTAAGATAACCAATTTTAATTGGATTTTTTTCTTGACCTTGGAAAGGGTCGTGGCTTAGAAATAAGTTGGTCTTTGTTCAGTGCGAATAAAGACGGGAGTCGTTTGACTTCGGAGAGTCTTTGATTAGACTCCGTGAGAATCCTAGGGGTAAGATTCTAGAAACCTTGAGTAAGGTTTCAGCTTAATTCTTGTACAAGGACAGAATATGGTTTATTCTTGTAATTTGAATTGATCGACAAAGGATTTTTCTCCTAATTGGATAGAGGTATCCAGATTAGGGTCGTGTTTTTTTTTTTTTTCCATTGGAGTTTTTCCCACGTTAAAATAATTGTTACTTGAGAAGAAAAAAGTACCATCAAAGTATGTAAAGACAATCAAGGATATGTATAATGGGGCTACTACATGTGTGAAAGCTTGTAACGGAACATCAAGTTATTTTCTTATCACGGTAGGTGTACACCAAGGTTCGGCTCTAAGTCCTTATCTCTTTACCTTAGTTATGGATGAATAACAAAATATATTCAAGAGGAAGTGTCATGGTGTATGCTTTCTGCAGATGATATTGGACTTATTGATAAGAACAAAGACGGTGTTAATAGAAGACTTGAATTGTGGATAAACACGTTGGAATCTAAAGGATTCAGGTTAAGTCGGAGCAAGACTGAGTATTTGAGGTGTGAGTTTCCTCTGGTAAGAGATGTAGACCAAGATCCCGTGCATCTATGTGGTCAAGAGGTACCCAAGAAAGATGCTTTTAGATATTTGGGATCCATTTTGCAAAAAGATGGAGAGATTGATGAGGATGTAAATCATAGAATCAAAACAGGGTGGATGAAATGACATAGTGTATCTGGGTTTTTGTGGGATCGCAAAATCCCACTTAAGTTAAAAGGAAAATTCTATAGAACAGCAGTAAGGCCTGCAATGCTATATGTAGCTGAATGTTGGCCAGCACATAGGCAACATGAGCATAAAATGGAAGTAGTAGAGATAAGGATGTTAAGGTGGATGTTTGGTTATATGAGGATGAATAAGATAAGAAATGAAAAATTCGACGAAAGGTAGGAGTACTACCGGTGGCTGAAGATGAGAGAACATAGATTGAGGTGATTTGCGCATGTAATGAGAAGGCCCCTGGATGCTCCCATAAGAACAAAAGTTTGTTACCAAGAGCTCAACACAAAGAAAGGTAGAGATAGACTGAAACTTACTTGGGGAAAGGTAGTAAAACAAGACTTAATGAAGTGAGATATAGATTGGCGGACGACGTGCCTTAGAACGGAATTGAGAAGAGCTATAAGCATGGTGGAGGGTTAGACCCGTTGTATTCCTATGTTTCAGATGACTCATTTTTAGTCCTTTTTCTCTTCATTTCTCCCTCTTCTTCTTTTCCCCTTCTTTTATTACTTTTATATATATATATATATATATATGGGGCAGAATATTCTTACACCAGTGTAAGAGTTAGAAGTCTTACACTCAATCTTGATCATTGATCCACTTGTATCCAATGGCTCACATTATTAAAAAATTAGAGCCCTTAGATATAAGTGGGATCAATGGTCAAGATTAGGGGTGTTAAACGAGCCAGGGGCCTTACAGGGGCCTTTGGCTCGGCTCGTGAAGGCCTGAGCTTATATGTCTAAAATTGATTGTTGGACCCAGACTTGGACTTGTATAAAAGCTCGTTTAATAAAAAGGTCTCAGGCTCCAATTTAAAAGCTCGGCCTTAGAGCCTCTCAGGCTTGCCTAATATATTAATTTTTAATTTTTTTATATTTTTTATACTTCTTACGATAGTCCTCTCTCTCTCTCCTCAATCCGTTTCATCCCATTTTATTAATTAAACAGACTTTTTGAATGATTTTATTTTATATTATGCTATTTGGATATACATTAAATTTATGAATATTTATGGAATTACTAGTGCTGTTGATTGTATACTTTGTTTAAATAAATTTTTGTTGTCTTATTTTTTTTTTAAACAGGCTAAACCAGGTTTTTATTTTTTGTAAATAAGACAGGCCACCACAGGCTGAAATTATATTCATGACAGGTAATAGGCTTGACCAGGCTGATACATTTAAATACAGGCTTAGCCTTTTAAGAACAAAGCTCGGCCCGTTAACACCCCTAGTCAAGATTGAGAGTGTAACTTAAACTGATGTAAAATGATTCTGACCCTATATATATATATATATATATATATATATATATATATATATATATATATATATATATATTTATTACTATTTTATCTATTTATTTTTATCTTTTATCTTTTTTTAACATTTTCGTATCTTTTATTTGGGTTCATCTACCACCAACTCTAATTAATTTGGGATAAAGGTGTAGTCGATGTTGATGTTGAAAATAATTGTTACTTCTTCCTTTTACTCTTTATTTTATCACAGTTGTTTGTTTTTAAATTATAAAATTTTCTATAAACTCAATTTATCCTCCTTCTTGAGTTCATCCGGAACCAACACAGATCTTATGAAAGCAAACTATGACATACGGATATTGAGTATTGAAATTGCTTCATAGGCTTCTCGCACTCCAGCAGTAAAATTGTTTTATTTCTTCCAGTTTTGTGAGTTTGTGTAACTGAAAAGCTTATAGTAGGGTAGAAGTTTCCACACAAATATGATGATAGATTGCAATACCTATGCTCATGGTGGTCTCTGCAGTACAAATTGTATCTTGGAGTGTGAGTTGTGGTTCTACAGTCTCCATAGCTCAGAAGCATCCTTGACTGTAAATTTTCCTTCAGAAGTAATGCATAGGAGAATGATTTCAAGTATAGAATTTTGTCAGAAGTTAAATAAAATTTAGTTATGCAACGCTATAAGATTCTGATAGCAACACATATATTCTTTGGAGTGATGAAATTCGTTTCATTGTAATTTTATTTGTGTCTTGGATTGAAAAGATGAATGCATTGGATTATTGTTTGTTCATGGAGAAATGAAAGATTATTGAACTAGTATATCTGTATATGGGAACTTTAAGAGCATTTATATTGATTTTGAACAACAAAAAGAAAAGAATTATCTGATTTAAGAAGCATCTTCATAGAGAACCAATTTTCCCATGAATAAGAAAGTTAAAAATGAAAAACGTTTGTTTTGATATCATTGTTCACTGAGAAAAACCACTGAATGCAATAGGGTAGAAAAAGTGTGACTCAATTTCGTTGGGACTAATACGAGTAAATGGTACAGATTTGGTTTGTTTTCATTCATTTATTTTTTTCTGCTTGTTAAAAAAGATATTTAGATTGAACACTTGGATACGAAGTTGAATAGAAAAATATTAAATAATATTGTATCCGGTCTATTACATAAACTTAACTAATTAATTATTTATCTAAAATAATGACTAATCTATAGAAACAAAGTATTTACAATAATTATACCAACATGTCACATTAACAGAAAGCATTCAATTTCGTATTAAAATGACTAGAGAAGTATGAGCGCCAAATTAAAAAGATCCCCAATCTCAAAATGCACACAGAATAATAATAATTGCATAGTAGTCATGGGATTTACACAAGCATCAACAAATGCAACAAATACTTGATGTCATGATCCAGTAGAGAAATAAAATAAACTTTTTGAAGTTTGAAGTAGGTACTATCAGAGAATAGCACAACGACTTTCACCCCGCTTGCGGAGTTCTTCATGTGCAATCTCAAGGTGTTCTCTGAGTTTCCGAATTTCATCATCTGATCTCTTTTGAGCCAACATTGCATTCTTCTCTGCCTCAAGTCTTGCAGAATGCTCTTCTGCCAATTGTTGCTCAAGCCTCATAGTTGCCTCCCTCAACTTTGATTCAACCTACAAAACCATATAATTATTCAAAGGGTGAGAGTCAACTTATTATGTTAACATATCCAATATTCCGCCACATGTGTACACTGTTGGGAGTTGGGACCTTCTTCAGAGTTCAAGCTTGGAACACTAGAAAGTAGAAAGCATAAGAATATGAAAATGACCATTGACCACAGGCAAGCCTAAAATCAAAAGAATCCGAGCCACACATATATGCTTCCTCATAATGTCTACTAATTGGCGGAGCAATAACTTCAATTGCTAAATATTTCCACACCTTGGAAAAATGGAAGTTGTTCGTCAGCCCACCCTCCAATTCTCGTCCAAGAAGATTGATAAAACTTATATAAGCAGTTCTTTCTTCACCCCAAGGCTCAATCAAACAGTGTAACCAGACTTGCCATACACAAATTCTAGACATTTCATACTTGGAAAATCTAATAAAACTCGGGTCAGATTGACACTGTCATTTTCTTGCTATACAAGTAGTAACAGCTTCATCCTTACTTTCGTAGAAGTTGAAGATAAGCTGCCCATTCTTTTAAATTCTGATGTTTAAATATATCTTTCTTAGCACCTACCCCCCATCCAAAAAGAAAAAGACAGAATCTTAACCAGAATTTCAACCCCTGAAGATTTTTTTCTACCCATCTTGCAGTTGTCATCATATAAACTCATAGAGTCAGGCTCAAATACCCAATTTTTACCACATTCTGTAATTTACCACATATGGAGGATACCCTTGAGATTACTCCAAAAAAAAAAAGGAAACATATTCTGGCTACTAAAAGAAAAAATAATTACATAATTTGACTAATAAAGGAAACAAATAATAACAGATATCTTCTATATTTACAACATTACATGCATGCACACCTTCCAAATCATCTCATGTCATATCATAATTGCGTCCTCTTACCATGATACGATTTGTATTAGGAGGGAAAAGATATTCCTTCTTAAAGAATATACTCGAATATTAGAAAGTTAGTTAGGAGGTGGTTAGTTAGTTAGTTAGATGGGTTGGTTTTGTTTGTGGTGTTGTCTTGTCTATTGGCATAGGGTGGTATTTTCTGGTATTGACTGAGAGTGTTCAGCGAGACGGGGAGTGCCCCTTGGAAGAGAAGTGTCTCTTGTATGATCATTTGTTTTTCTAATTAATAAACATGTTTCTTCCATTTCCCATTTTTCTTTCATTCTTCCCTTTTATTATGCAAGTTTCAATCTCTAAATAATCCAGAGCCGTATCATACCATCTCAACACAGTCAATTCACACATACATGTGGATGAAAACATTACATGACTAATAATGGATGCACCTTATTGTTTTATTCCTGTAAAAAATTCATGAGGCCATTGGTCTGTACATGTCTATGCCCCATGAAACGGAAAAAAAGATTGTCACCCATTACTTAATTTATGATATTAAATAAGATTTAATAGATCCTTAAGATTACATCTTCATATCAGAACACCAACAATAGCTTACCTGAATGAATGCAACTATTCAGTGAGTATAAATACTAAGTACATGCTGGTTTTATCCATAATCTGCATATTATGAACCATGCACCAATACATATATAAAGCTGCTACTGAAAATTCCATAACATTAAAGAAAGCATCACCGTGCTTAACTTCCAGAAAAATAAGTTAAACAACATCCAGATGAAATAACGAGTATCAGAAAATATGGACACAGAAGGTACCATCTCAGTAATTCGTTTTAGCTGGTCATCATATGTTTGCTGCATTTGCTTTTTAAACTCCAATACCTCTCCTTTTGAATATCCTTCCATGGAATCAACCTCTCTTTGTTGGTTATGCAGCTTCATTGCTCCCTTCTGCAGTCAAATGATGAAATTCAATGATATCATATATTATTTTACAAGATTTAAGAAACAAGATTGCGAAATTTGCAAAACTTCCACCTTCAGTTCTGTAAATAACTCATCTGTATATGGCCGTCCACCATTCTGTGATATAACCATGTTTACAAATGAGAGAAGTTGTTGTACTTGCCCAAACCGCTTCCTTTCATCCTTAGTCTTGTTATCAAAAAGCACGCAACGATTCTCACACAGAGAAAGAATTTCCTATGGTATTGATAAAAATTAATTGAAGATCAACAAAATTATTTATTTTCCATTTGAGATTTTGCAGATGGACATTCCTACAATCCAAGATACTTCAGGCAAGACAGCAAAGGAGCAAATGATTGCCAAGAAAGTGACTTAACAGCTAAAACCAGGGAAAATGCAGCATTAAAAGTTATACCAACATGAAAAGAGGGCAGGTGAAGCATTCTGAAGAAGAAGCTTCTGCTGCTCAGCTATTCTTACCTTTTTCTTTCAGTACATAATAAAAAAGTTTATAACAAATACAAGAGAACAAGTACAAGAATAGAGTATTAGATTTTCACCCTAAAGATGACCAAAAAAAAAAAAAAAAACAAGACCTAGACAACCAAGACAAGCTAATTAACTAAGCAGACTTCACCAATATTTTAAATCTCCCAAATGGCATCAGATGAGAGTTTAGGTCTGTTTGTTTGTGTGTTTTTTATTTTAAGAAAAAAAAACTCTTAATTAAAAGATATATTTAAAAAATTTATGATAATTAGATAAGTTTTTTGAAAAAAAAACAAAAAAAAAAAAAGAACTTTTCTCGGAAGTTAGAAAAAGTAGCTTCTAAAAAAACCTATATCATAAGAAGGCTTACTAATGATTAGCACAGCTGGGGAAGCGAGCTCAAGAAGGCAAGCTGAAATTTTAACACATCTATTTATTAAGGTTAAAAATCCAATGAAGCAAAAAAGAATAGCAGTTAATCTAAATTATATTACTATAGAAACCTCTAAAGGCTGCGGACAATGGCGACCTAGATAATCTTCCAGTGTCTCATCATTTTCTTCTAAGTCATCTATTTATTAAGGTTAAAAATCCAATGAACCAAAAAAGAATAGCAGTTAATCTAAATTATATTACTATAGAAACCTTTAAAGGCTGCGGACAATGGCGACCTAGATAATCTTCCAGTGTCTCATCATTTTCTTCTAAGTCATCTCCTCCAGTGAAGACCACGATCATGTAGTCAACAATTTTGCTTCCAAATAATGTCTGCAAGCTGCGTAGAGCAGTTTCTTCTTCCTGAGTAAAGCGTGTTCTAACAGAGAACACAACAAGGACGGCATGGATCCCATCCTTAGCCATATCAATGCATTTGACTATTTCCTTGCCAACGAACTCAGCTCCAGCGGAAAAATCAAACAGTCCTGTGAAACTTTTTAGGTTAGACGGTTATAACAAAGTTTCCTTTAAACAATCACACATACTACTTAACTCAAGCAAATCACAAGTTACCATGCCTTTTTACCTGGGGTGTCAATAACATTAATAGTTTGTCCATCACCCAGAACAGTTGTCTGTAATTCACATGAGGTGGTTACAGCAGAGGAGCTAGCCCTTGAGTTGAAGACCTTCCTTCCAATAATAGAATTACCTGTTGCACTCTTCCCATTGCCAGTACGTCCAACTAAGACCACAGTCCGAACCTCATTACATGAGGAAGCAAGCTCCCAATCTTCATCAATAGAACTTCCACCCATCATAAATTCAGGTTACTGATATCCTGAACCCACAAAACATTTACAAAGACAAAGCCAATTATTTCCTTTGTCCCAAAAAAAAAAAAAAAAGTAAATAAATAAATAAATAAAGAATGAGAAAACCAACAAATCGAAGCTCTCAGATAAAAACAGAACTAGTCAATTATGTCATTAAATAACAAGCTACGCAAAAATTTGTTAAATCAGGAAACCATGATGTTTGGGTTATAGTTACAGAGAACAAACACTATAAACTCTCTAAAAGGGAAAAAAAAAAAATTATAAATTAAAAAATTGGAATTTATAGAGCCAAGCAGAACGGGTGATGTAGATGAGTGAAATATGAAAAGATGAAAAAAGAACCAAAATTGAACTATAAAATCACGCTCCTCGGAAGAAAAAAGACAAAAGAAACAGAGTTATCATCATGGGTATCCATCCAGAACACGAATTCTCTAACCTAAACTGTAGGGAGAGCCTTTCTCCCGAGCATATATGCAAACGCGAGAGAGAAACCCAAATAAAAGCAAACACTAGGGCGATCTTATTTATTTAACTTATCAAAAATCACGATTATTAATATAGTGATAATTTTTTTTTTTTCGAAAATATAACTAAAAAATTATTTGATAAACTAAAATATTATTAGGAATATTGATTAAGTATTTGTCATAATCAACTAACCATTTGCTGGCAACCAGAGGGAGAGGAAGAGGATGATAGTGAACGTGGACTTATCTTCTTCGTAGAGTCCACACTCCACAGGTCCAACTTTTTTCTGTTTGAGGTTTTATCGAATTGGGCCATTATTGTTGATAGCCCACTGGACGATTGGTAGTGTGTTTAATTTGGGGGCTCGGAAGCACATTTTGGCGCCAATATTATTTATTTATTTATTTAATTTTGTCTTTTGGTGTGAGTGAGAAGGATCTTGTGTTGTGTTTGTGCGCAGCGCACGGTTATCTTACTCTTGCCGGTGCATCGGAATCCGAGTTTTTGAAATTATTGCATGGCATCCAATAATCCTTATGAAATAATGGACGATGAGGTATGGAAATTGCTAACTAGCTTCCTTACAAACTCAACAACTCTTATTTTATTTTTTGAAGTTTTTTTAGGGGTTTGATTGGGAAGCGGCTGCAAGAGAAACCGACGTGGTTTGTCAAATGAGCAGTGACCCAAAGGGTTTTGAGAAGCAGAAGAGAAAGCAATCCACTGTGACTATTGACAAGAAGGAAACCCAAGAAGATGCCGAAGGAGCCACCTGCATCCACCACATAGATGCTGAGGCAGCCAAAACTTGGATATACCCAGGTAGAATAATACTAGGCTCTTTTTTTTTTGTTTGATTATTTATCTAAATTGTTCAACTTCAAATTGAAGGCTGTTGCTCATTTTTCTCGCAGTTAATGTTCCTCTCCGTGACTATCAATTTGCTATCACCCAGTCCGCACTCTTTTCGAACACATTGGTGGCCTTGCCAACAGGACTTGGCAAAACACTCATTGCCGCGGTTGTTATGTATAATTATTTCAGATGGTTTCCTCAAGGTAATGTAACGTGTGACTGTGTCCACAAATTTTACAGTTTTAGCTATATGTGACTGACTGCCAATGCCACATATCAATCCATACGTTACCTAACCTTTTTAACTGAGAAAACCATCTTCATCTGCTACTTCTTTCACAACAGGTAAAATAGTCTTTGCTGCCCCTTCTCGACCACTTGTCATGCAGCAGATAGAAGCATGCCATAATATTGTGGGAATACCTCAAGTAACAACTTTTCTTACTACTTATTCACCTTCGCCTCATATTTTCTTCGATGATATTTATGAAATATCTTGGTGAATTTTAATTGCAGGAATGGACGGTTGATATGACCGGTCAGCTAAGTCCTCCCAAAAGAGCTCGTTTTTGGAAAACAAAGCGAGTTTTCTTTGTCACTCCACAAGTATTGGAAAAAGATATTCATTCTGGTGATTTTCTTAATCAATTCCATAATATTTCCCTGGATAGATTTTTATGTGGCATATACCATGCTTTGCTTCATTTGATATAGCTCTGTAGCTGTATTTTGTCTTGTTCATGATTTAGTTTCGTTCAGGTACGTGTTTGGTGAAATACTTGGTATGTTTGGTAATTGATGAAGCTCACAGGGCAATGGGAAATTACGCTTATTGTGAAGCAGTTCGTCAGGTTTGATTTATTTAGAGGTTTTCAGTTACTTCTGGTCTTTATCAATAGTATATGTTCATTCATTATTATATACAACATAAAACTGATTTATCTCTGTTGTTTTCTTTTGGTTTCTAGTTAATGGCTGTACCGGTACAACTGAGAATATTAGCGTTAACTGCAACGCCGGGATGTATGTTTTTGATAATCTTTTGTTTTTTCAGTTTTCTTTTCTTTAAAAAATATTGTGTTCTAATTCTAACTTTGATATTCAGCAAAGCAGCAGACGGTCCAGGATGTTATTGATAATCTGCATATCTCCAAGCTCGAATATCGCAGTGAAACTGACCATGACGTTATCTCATATGTTCACAATAGGAAGGTAGAGGTGATACAGGTAATCAACACATCCCTATTTGGAATCTGGAGTTATATTTTTGCTTTTTCTTAGAGATCTTTGTTGCTATATTGCCAGGTTGCAATGGGCCAAGATGCTGCAGAAATAAACAATAAGTTTTTGGAAGTAATACGCCCTGTAGTAGCCAGGCTTACAAAAATTGGGGTCATTCAGAATAGAGATTATCGCACTGTATGATTCTTTGTACCTTGTAGTTTATTTTTCATTTGTCCCCAGTTTCAGATAGCTCTACCTTTTGTTAGCTAATAATTACATGACTTATCTGTGATTTTTGTTGAAGTTCCACCAAGATATATTTGAGCATGGATTGTGCCCCCTTTCCCCTTCTTTTTTACTTTCATCATCTATTAAGGGAACATATGTAAAGATGGTTATTACATTCATCAATTCTTTCTAAATCATATGATATAAATATAATCAAGTAATTGTTTGGAGGACTTGGAACAATTGACAAGATATATTAACCCCTAAGATAAAAAAGGAAAAAGAGTAACAATATTTTGTGATCTTGGTGTCAGTCATTGTTTGTCCATATACTTATGCGATTCTGTTCTCTTTCTTTCTTAGAATGCATTTAGTTTGTCACACAACCAGGATGTTGAATAGTGCTATATTCATAGTGTTGGTTAGTAATCAGTAAATAAGGTCAATTGGGTGATGGCGATAAGGCTGAAATACGTTGATCAATAGAATTGCCTCAGGAATTCATAATCCTCTTGTATGGAAAGCTCATAAAGAATTTAGAAAGCAATATAGGATAAAGGAGGATGGTTTTGGTCTGACGATATTGCATTTACATGAATATGGGTTCACATTATATAAGCAAGAGCGATTCTGCCCTATGTTGCTGATAAGAACCTTGGGATGCACTACCACAAAAGCTAGCTCAAAGGTTGGGAGTGTTGAAGGCCTTATAAACCTCACATTAGTTGTCCATACAATCAATGTGGGACTCCAAGTCCCAGACCTCGCAAATGGGTCCTAACATTCCACCACGCTTCGCAGCCCCGTCTCCCACACGAGCTGACTTTGCGCTAGTCTTTTTACTAGCCTTGGGCGAACACTGCAATTCTAGTGTCACCAGCGCCGCTCAATTGCGACTAGAGACACAGTGGAAGGCTTTGATACTATTTGATAAGAACCTTGGGATGCACCACCCCAAAAACTAGCTCAAAAGGTGGGAGTGTCCAAGGTCTTATAAACCCCACATTAGTTGCCCATACAACCAATGTGGGACTTCAAGTCCCATACCTTGCAAATGGGTCCTAACAGTTGCTGACACCACCATCCCCAAGCTCAGATGAATAGTTGTTAATTTTATTAAATATAAGTGCTTTAGAAGAGAACCCTAAGAGTTCGTGTTTAGTTAGAAAGTGCTTATGGAGTTTCCTAGTCCCTAAAAGGTACCATGGAGACTTACGGCTGATTTTTTTTTTTTTTTTTTAAGACTCTTATATGACCCTCCTACTTTATGGCAGTGATGATGGCTTGAACCTAAGTAGAAGCAGCTTCGATTGAAGAAAAACTATGATGCGATAATCTATAAACTGCTTTGGGCTTGTACACATTAAGTATGTGAATGACCTGCTGCATTTGGATTTGACATCAAATTGTTATCTAATGGTCATGGATGCTCTCATGTACAGATTCAAGAACACTTCACAATATGTTTCAAGGAGCTAGAAAACTCATTAGATTCAACTAAACAATGAAATCCAAGATAGCCCACTTTAAGGCAATCAGAATGCTTTTGGTTCATTAAGTCTATATAAGGGTTTAGATAGTTTCGGGCAGGCTTTTTGTCTCTTTTTCTAGTCGCATTGATAAGATTCTAGTAAATTATATATCCCCTGTTATTTATTACCCATATGATTTGAAACTACATTAACAACATTCCAAAACAGTATTATTTTTTATAGCTCTCTTAGATATTTTTCTTAAGATTCATTAACTTCTCATTGTTAGCTGTCACATCTTTTGGACTCTACTACCATTTGCCATAATTTTTAAGGCTTGATGATATGGCTGAATCATTAATTACTCTTTTATGTTTTGAATGCTTGGCAGTTGAGCCCTTGTGTATTACTTGAAATGAGGGAAAAGTTTCGTCAGGGGCCTAGGGAAGATCTTTCTCATGTCAACTATGGAGATGTTGAAGGGTATTTTGGAGTTCTTATTACTCTTTATTACATCCATAAGCTACTTTCAAGTCATGGAATAAGGCCAGCATATGAGATGCTCGAAAGAAAATTGAAGCAAGGGTAGGCCTTTGTCTATACTTCATATCTACTGTTTATATATTAGCTAAGTAATCAACAATTGCAAAAGTTATGGTTTTTTTTTTTTTATATATATATATACATGTATTATTGTTTGATCCTTTAGGCAATATAAGAACTTAATTTAAGATAAAGGCTAGTACAATGGTAGTATCAAAGGAAGAGTATCTAAATTCTAAAATATCTAGAAAAATAGCATAGTGCAGAATATATAACGAAATAGTCCAACCGCACAGACTTTTTGGGCGTGTTGATTTGATCTTGAGACATCACTTCCTTAAACATGAATTGTTGATTCCTCTGTTGCCATATGGTCCAATTGTTCCTATGAATTTATGGCATTACAAAGTCAAACAAAATTAGCTTTATTTGCGTGTTTACATTGAATTCTACATCAAGTCATCCAAAACAGCAAGAACATGTCAGTAAGTTGCCAATAGTCGCGTCGTAAAAGCTAGAACTGAGTTGATTAATTTTATATGCAATCAGAATGTTCCATATTACACATTGTTTATGGTAAATTCTTTACATTTAGATCACTAATTTTTGAGATTTCCATGTTTACATTTTTTAAGTAGATTTTGAAGACAGTGATCACTGGTTCCTGATCCCTGTTTGCCTTTAGTTGAATTGAAGGCCAAAATTTTATTACTTGTTAGGACATCTAGCTTTGTGATCTTAGTTGATATGTAGGGGAGGTGGACTTAAAAGCTGCTTTTGTATTTACAAAAAAAAAAGAAAAAAAAAGCTGCTTTTGACAATGACATTATTTTAGGATAAAGAAACATTTGTAGCCGTGTTATTTTTGTCTTTTTTTTTTTTTTTTTTTTTTTTTGAGGGCTTTGTCTAGACATTTCATTATTTTATGCATGAAATTTTCTATAAGTTTTATATATTTGAAGTTGCAGTACAATGGTTCTGTTTAACGATACCTTCTTTCAGGTTTTTTGCAAAATTTATGAGTAAAAATGAAGTTATTCTAAAAGCAAGGCAACTAATGCAGCAAAGCTTGTCTCATGGAGCATCGAGTCCCAAGTTGTCCAAAATGCTAGAACTATTACTGGAGCATTTCAGTAAGTAGAATTCTGTTTGTCTCATGCTGAGTTTAATTGCTGTGAATTACCAAGGTGTTAGTATTTGCCTTCTAGCTGTTTACAATAGCGTAAAGAAAGTTTTGAATCCTCAAGAAAGATATAACATGGAAATGACTTTGATCTCACAAAATTTTCTCACCACTTAATTTATATAGGGAATTTGTTGTTAACTTATTATCAATTTTGTATATGGTTTTTTCATTCTTAAGTTTTCCAACTAAACTGTTCTGGTTATCTGGTGACAAAAATGGTCTTGCATAAAGGGACTGATTGTTAAGAGTTTGCAGGAGTTTAATGGCGATATTTAGCTTAACAAGTTTTATTAAAAAAAATGCTCCTTAGGCTTCTTTCAGATTGAGCTAGGCAGCTAGTATGGAAGTTCATTAGGGAGTCTTGAAAACTTCCGAAGTTTGTGAAATTTAAGATGGAGTCTGAAATAATGATCAAGTCTTGGTTCTTTTGTGTTTTCTGTTTGTATGTTCCTTTAAATAATTCATTTCTTGAATTTTCCAAAATTTCACTAAAGGGATTAATCGTTGATTGGGCTGCATATTCATGTCTCCTTTGTTAAGCTGTTATACGATTGTCAATTGCGTCATGGAAGTTTCTTTCCATCTGATCATTTTGCTGAAAGACTGGACTTTGTGAGGATATAGCCATATAGCTGATAGAAGTTGGCCAGGATGTTTTTCTGTGGTACTTCCGTTTGGGTTGATGTAGGAATGGAAAGCTGAATTGAAAGACTACTGAACATTTTGATTCTTTTTGTAGACAGCAGCATTTGCTTATGCTTAAGTCTGAGTGAAGTTAATTTTATTAGTGTTGCCTTTGTCAGTGTAATGAGAAAGCAATTGATCATATTCTTATACATTGTCCAGTTGCCAAATTTCTCATGCTATTTCTATTTTAGGATTTGGTCATTTGTCTTTTGTCAAGTTTGTGAGTTGTCTCCAGAGGTCCGAAGGTTTAGAAACGCTCGTTTGAATTTGGCCCGCTACTTGAAGAATTATATTCTTGTGCTTCTTTTACAAAGAAAAATACCTAATTATACACGTGGCCAAATACTCTTAAACATCGTTACGAGGTGGTAACATTAGAGTAAAAGCGTGCAGAAATTCTGGTGAGATCACGTCATATGGTAGGAAACTAAGAATTATACAAATGTGAGATGATGTGTGTATACATAGCATTATTCTTTTGAGGTTTTGCTATCAAATTATTACTAGGGTACGCATTTGTTTTATTTGTGTTGCCTCTGCATTTTTATGTTGTTGTTAATGCAGAGGATATGTGTGTCAATTATTTTTTGAAGTTCTAAGCAAGCCCCACAGAATCATATGTTTCACTATGGTATTTTTACGTTTCATTTTTACTTTTTTATGCTACAACTCCCTTTTATAGAAAAAAAGAAAGAGAATAATCCCCCTCTTGTCTACCAAAAAACGAGATGTATAACACGGGTAAACAGTGATGTATAAGAGTAATACTTTCGTAAATATTTTTAAGTTTGAAGGGACATTGACTGTTTCTTGATGGTGTTTTAAATCCTGGAGGTTTGGGAAGGAAAGAGGGTAATCTTTAACCGAGGTGCACTGTGTGCAGGGGCTTGGTATGTTGGAGCAGGCTGCGAACTTGAATACTAGATGAGAAATGTTAGGTCTACAGGAAAAAAAAGCCTTAAAACAATTTGGTATAAATTTCCAACCATGTGTAGTCTTTACAACCTGTACCTTCAATAGGCAAAATCTTGTAAATCTCAGTTTGATTTTTTCTTTTTCCAATAATTGGATTTTTTTCATTATACTCTTTAATGTCAAATAGTTTACATTGAATGTATACTCATCAGTCAATGACATCTTTGGATGTGGTTGCAGAAACCAATGATCCGCAAAACTCCAGGGTAATTATTTTCTCCAACTATAGAGAAAGTGTCAGGTAAAATTAGATTGAGTCATTTCATTATCTTAATCTACGTAGTTATTGGGAATTTTTACCCAAATTTGAAAATTTTCTTATGTTAACGAATTCAGGGACATTATGGATGCACTTGGGGGCACTGGGGAACTAGTCAGAGCTACCCAGTTTATTGGTCAAAGTACAGGTATTTATAATGGTGGCTTTGTTCTATAATTGTGTATGCAAAGAACTTAACGTGTCTCATTTATTATCAATAACATATCTTATTTGGTACAGTATAACCAATGGAATTGACATTTACATAAATCAGAGTCAAATATTTTGTTCCCTGATTCTTAAAATATTGGTTAAAGCCATATCATGAAGGAGGTAAATACCAGTACAGTATGTTATGTAAGGGTCTTTATTTCCGTACTTTCTCTAAATAAAAGAATATTATATTTTTAAATTGATAAATTGAATAATAATGGTTACAAGCTGAGTAATAAAAAATTATAATTTTTATGAGTCTGAACCTTTTATAATTCAGTTTATAATTTTTATTACTCAATTTGTAACATTTTATATAGAGTTTATTTTATAAAAGAGGGTAAAAAACGTAATTTTTTGGAGAAAGTGCCGAAATGCACCCCTTTTATAAAATATAAACGAGAAAGAGAAAACAAGAGAAACTTTCCTTGACAATTGAGATAAACCGTCATCAAATTATGCATAAAATAACTATATTGTCATGATTTTTCTTGAGATACGACAAGCCGCCATTTATGGCAATACTTCTTCCCAGATTTTTAGCTTTATTCTAATAGCATTTTTGTTCTCTCTTGTTTTTTTTTTTTTGGTAATCTCATTTTTGTTCTTCTTATTTTTGTCTACCTTGTGTATGAGGTCGCTTTTTTTTCTTCTCTCATAATAATTTTGTCTTTACCGAGGGCTCACTTGGTAGCATGGGGATTGAGTGGTGGGAGAGGACCTCGGTTCGAATCCCACCAACACCATCTGGGGAGGGGTATAAGTACCGTAATCCTTGGACTCGCACTTAAACTCTGGATTAGTTCCATAAGCGGCTCAAAGAACCGAATCCGTGGGGATATCGGGGTATTGATTCGCCTCTCAAAGAGGTAATTAGGATCAGTTTCCAAAAAAAAAAAAAATTGTCTTTCTAAAAAATAGGGGACATCAATTTGGTTATAAAGTAAATTGATGTTAATTTAACTTTCTTAATAATTACATCAAGATTGTTTTATGATGAACAGTGAGAAGAGTGTTAATGAAATTCTTGATCAATAAATTACATTAATGTTATTTTTTATTATTAAAGAATTCAATTAATACTTTATAATTAATAATGGGAAGAGTTATATTCACAAACTTTTTTTATTACAAATTTACAAATTACATTAAGTCTGACTAGACTTGATCAAGAGGATGTGACTAGTGAGACTTAGTGTAGTTTGTAAGAAAAGAAATTCATCAATATAACCCTCCCAATTAATAATACTACTAATTGTTATTAATGATATTGTAACAACCAATTAGTATTACTACCAAATGTTATTACCAATCAATTTTACCGTTGGATCGATTATATTGATCCAACAGTTATATTTATTTTCCATCTTTGTATAGTTATAATTCCTCTTATATTAAATATAGGAAATCATAATCATAAATATAACCGTTAGATTAACATAATTAATCTAATGGTGAAATTAATTGGTAATAACGTTAATAGTAACACGAATTATTGATTTTTACAATATCCTACCTATGATTAATATCAACTATTAATTTGTTAATTAAATTTTTAGTAGAGCAATATGCTTGTTTGCCCAAAAAAAAAAAGCGCTAACCGATACCTTTGTATATCTTCTGGGAAAATTCCATTAAGGAGACCATCAGACCAAACCAAAACGCCACAGAAACAATCTTGTCCCATTTTAGATGTGAGAGCTGAAAAGAATTGTAGAAGATACAATCGTTTTGCTCAAGCCAAATACACCAAAGTGCAGAATAGATAGTACACCTTAAAGCCATTTCCTACGTCGTTCTGCGAAGTTGAGAGGATGACGCAGCCTGAATTCATCGAAGACAACAAGTTACGTATTCCAGATCGATAGAGCAGCTATTTACATAAAACATATCAGGCGATAGAGCATTATGGGATCTTCAAATTTGCAACATAATTTAATTATTTATCCTATTTTACTACTTCTACTGAGGGAAAGACTCATGTTAGCAATAGTAGTCTGGGGGTATTTTACCCTTCATGAACACCTGCTGCTCAGTCTCTCTTCTAACAACATAAATAATAATTCTGGCATCAAGGCCTGTTTCGTTTTTCCTTTCAAATTCAAATAAATTCTGTGACTCATCAACTTCATTGTTGCATTTTCTGATAGAAAAGAAGTATTATCGGAGAGAAAAGCCAAGGTACAAGGAGAAAAGGGATATAAGATATCCCTTTTAGCAAAGAAAATAAAAGGGACACAATCCCAACAAACGAAATCTCATCAGTGCAAATAGGCTCTTTGCTAACAAAACATCTAATGTAATCAAGCATTGCTTCTAATTCTGTGAGATTTCATAAAATAAGTCTTAATTTGTTTTGACTTTAAATAATTCTTAATCTTTCTTAAGCATTGGTGATATCTGCATCTTTTTCTTCTGTATCTTTATTCATGAGAAATGTCTTATCCTCCAACTTGTATCTTCCTGTTCTTTGTTGTCTTCCTTTTTTTGGCCTTCATCATTATAAATTCCATCATGCATAAAAGAAAATCTTCATTTTGATGATTTACAGGAAAAGCAATGAAGGGTCAGTCCCAAAAAGTTCAACAGGCTGTGCTGAAGGTATGTAATCCATTTGATATAATATTAATATTCACTCCTTCCATGTTCTTACATAGTTCACCAACAGAAATTTCGGTCTGGTGCCTACAATGTCATCGTTGCTACATCAATTGGTGAAGAAGGTCTTGATATCATGGAAGTTGATCTTGTCATATCTTTTGATGCTAATATTTCACCACTTAGAATGATTCAGCGAATGGGGAGAACTGGAAGAAAGCATGATGGACGAGTTGATATCCTGTGATTGTCGGTTTTATTTGTTTCTTTGGCAATTTTTGCTGCTGAGAAAGAAATGAACATTCATGACGTTCTCCACTACTAGTTTTGGTGAATAACGTCCTGGGAGTTTCAATAGTTTTTAGTTTTCTGAAAAGTTTTAAGTGTTTGTTTTAATGATTCCTTAACAAGTATTACTAGTTTTAGCTTGTGAAGGGACAGAGTTGAAAGGCTACTTGCGAAAACAGGCTAAGAGCAAGACTATAAGTAAACACATGCGAAATGGGGGCGTAAATAGCTTCAGCTTTCATCCTAGTCCAAGGATGGTTGGAAACAATCGGATAGCTTCTTATTTTACTTTTATTTTTTTTTTCTAATTTCTTTTTTTGTTTCTGTTTTTTATTCTTATCTTCTAAATCCTGCTAAATACTTCTGTAGATTCCCCACATCCTTAAACCAGAAGTTCAATATGTTGAGCTGTCAATTGAGAAATATATTCCTCGTGAAAAGAATGTGAAAGACGACCATCTTCACATTTCTGCATCCAAGGAGAAACTCACTGATGCTGAAAATGATTTACTGGAAACATATTTTCACCCTACTGGGGAAAATAAATGTAGATTATCTCTTATTGCCTTTCCCCACTTTCAGACCTTTCCTTCTAGAGTGCATAAAGTGAAACATTCCTTTGGAACATTGATGCTTATAGATATGATGCAGCGTTTGAAAGGACTAGTATCATTTCCAGGAGATAGCAAAACTTCTCTTCAGGTTCTACATCCTTTTCTACATTAGTACTATATTGTATTAAATATGATCGGGGTCATACTATGATCTGCCTTTTTTTTTTCCTTAATAAAATGATGTCTATTTGTTTAATTCAGGAAGATCTGTGTTTAGGAAATAGTAATCCAGTTGCAATTACCGAGCTGGATGGGGGTATAAAAGGTAATATAATCCGTTCAATTTTCTCTCCTAAATTTTATTGCCAGACAATAAATACATGACTTATGAATCAAGACACCAAGTAAAAGACATATTATAAAATATTATATTCAATGTGATTCTGAAATTGGGATTATGTTTGTCATTTTTATCTTCTTTCTCATTTTAAATACTTCATCATGCTTCATTAAGGTTGCATTCTTTGCAGCTTGCAATTGCATGATATTGAGCACTGCCTCTGTTTTCCCCGCTATTCAAAAGACATTCTGTAATTACCTGGGAGATTATAAAGAATTTGTTGTAAATAAACATAATTTTGTTTTCTTAGTGTGCTATCATTCCTCTTATTGGTCCAACCTCATTTTCAATGATTATGCAGTGAAATTGTCAACATGGCCATGGAAAAGTGGTGTCGCTTTGTTATAGTTTTTACTTTTCAAAAAATTTACTTCTTGATGGGTGTTCGTAATAAATGTCTTTTCTGTGAATTAACATATTTTCTTCTTCTGTAAAAGATTTTGCAAATATCTGATAACATTTGAATTTTGAGAATACACTAGCTAATGGAAAGTCCTTTTTGTTTTTGTTCTCTACAGATAATGAATCATGCTCTAGGCATACAAGGGGAAGGAATGTAGTCTATGTAAATTGTCTGGAGCTGGATTCCTGTCATTTGGAGATTCAAACCAAAGACTCTGTTGATCCAACTCTCCAGGATAGTACTCTCTGTGACTTGGGTAAGCATCTCGAGGAAACATGCGAGGGTGATGAGACAATTCCTGAGACTCCAATTGCTAAGAAAAGTGTGTCAAATGAGGGAGATAATGCTGGTGAAACGATCAATCTTGTGGAGATCAAGACTTCTTTGTTGGTTGAAGATGCATGCTTGGATGGCTTAAGAGATGAACTTAGTCCTCGTTTAACTAATTTTATTAGAAGTGGTGTTGTTCCAGAGTCTCCCATTGATGAAAGAGGTGGGTTTCTTCATGGTCATAATGTGGTTGAGTACAATATTGAGAGTGATAACTTTGTTGATTGTGTGAATGTGATTAAATAATTTGTTCTGGAATAAATTGAAATTTTCAGGGCAATCAAGAAACAACTTTGTCATTCGAGACTGTATTTCACCTGTTCATCTTCTCGAACAAGGCAATGTTAGTTCTTTATGTTTTAGGGAAACTGAAAAGGTCATCATTGATAGTGGGCCTGGTAAGAATGCCTCTACTTCTCCTGTTGTCAATGAAACTCAAACCCCTTTACTTGAGCTGAAGAAGTATGCAATTAGAAGAGGACGTGTCTTCCTTTCCCCAACTGACGAAGACCATACACATATCGCTGACCCATGCTTCAGTGGAGAATCACATTTAGGCTGTGGTGAAATGTCTTTAAGCATTAAACCTGCACGCAAATTTAAAAGGTTGCGGAAAGCTGATGATATTGACAGTAATATGAATCAGAAAAACAATAATTGTTTTGCTTCAACAGCAAACCTTTTGAAATCATCTTCTACCTCCAATCCCACACGATGTAAGCATGGCCAAGGTGATTTAAGTTTGTTTGATGCATCTTTTGTTCCTTGCTTTATTGAAGTATTGTAGATCAAATCTTGTTTCTTTGAAACCAAATTGGAAATATATATAATAAATTCTATTCTGTCATATAGTATCGGTGAAAACTTAAGGCTATGCTGTTTCACTTTTTACTTTTTAGGTAAAAGGACACCAACACATACTGTGAGAGACTTCATTGAGGAGGAAGCTGAGTAAGCTTATGCTAAAGAATCACTCGATGTTGCATTCTCATCCTTTATTTTATCATTTTTTGGCAAATAGTATTTACCATTATTATTAGCACATGTTTCGTTAATGATTGGCAAGATATAATGACTTAAGAAATTCAAATAAATAATCTGCATATCATGGACATTTTGTGAGAGATATCCAATCTCATGAGCTGTTCAATATTCTCAGGGTATCTTCAGATGCCTACATATCCAATGACGAAGATGACGAGGATGGCAATTCAGTTGACAGTTTCATAGATGACAGGACCAACCCTTCAGCGGCCAGTCAGGCTGAAGCTAGTAGAATGGACATGATGGCAATTTACAGGTATTTTATATTTCTGCTATTTCCCTCTCTCTTCATAGGTTCCTTCATAAGTAAAATAGCGTGCATAATTCTGAGAAATTTGGTAGAAAAATCCATCTAATAAAAAATACGTGAAGATTTTCCAAAATTTTGGAGGAGTTTTGAGGGTTGGGGTCCAAGGCCACGCCATCACCTCCTCCCCGGTCCCCCTCTCCACCCATGTATAGTGTAATCCACTAATCATATTTCGTGTTTTTCTAAATTTATAACGGGATACGAGGGAGAGGGTGGGCAGGGTTACTTACTTCTTTGTTGTGGACAAGATGAATGCGTGTTTAGTTCCTGAAGCTTAATCACCCATTGAAGAGTTAAGACATAACTTGTACTTTTTTGTGAAGTTAAAAAAAAAAAAGGATTTCTTTTGTATATATGATCTGTTCAGAACCGTTCTGAGGTTGTAGAAAAAGACGATGAATCTTTATGCAATTATATGGTACCCAAATGCGCAAGATGGAATCAAACCATAAGCTTCGGAGAAATATTTCCTATACTTTCACCAATATACCTCGGAAGTTTATTACCAGTGTCTCTGGTTGTTTTGAGTGATTGGAACTCTCAACTACAAACAATTTATTATTAACTTCATTTTTAACCTGCATAATTAAAATTAGCTCTGCTGCAGGCGTTCTTTGCTGAGTCAAACACCAATTAATGGAGGGCTCAATTTTTCTGCCACTTTCAGTCCTGACCATGTGACTATGGCAACCAGTGTAAGTGAAAGTGGGGATTCTTCAGGCAAGACAACGAGTCATTTTCAGGCAGAACCAACCGATCAGTCAGCTAATCGGACTTCAGAATCAGTTCACATCAACCAGACAACCTCCAAAGCAGTGCCTTCAACTGGTTCCCTTGCCGGAACTAGGACAGAGATAAGAAGTCGTAAACGAAGATTAACATTTTACCATTCTGGAAACTTTCCAAATATGAACCTTGAACAAGAATTTGCACTTCACTCAAAGAAAGAAACAGCGGATGCCGACTCAACTATAGATGTTCTATGTGATGATCAATTTTATAATGACCTTGATCTTGACGAGTTGGAGGCACAAGCAACTTCGCTTCTAAAACGGAAATTAGATTTGTCAATTCAGAAGCAAGATACAATCCCTCAATCTCACTCACCGAACCTGGACATTTTTAGGTCTCCATCATTTGACCTTGGGATATGAAAAGCACGACAAAAGCACTGATTCGGCACGGCACTTACATTTTGGAAATTAACTTATATAATATAAACTGGTTACCAGAAATCTCTTACTCCATATTTATGCAAACGTACAATATTGTAGTCATATTAGTGGATTGGACCTTGTAGCCAAACTAGCCTGGTTCAGCTTGACAAATAAACGATGAGCAGTTGACGCTGTTTGGAAGATAGGATTGTATGTAATCATTTGAAAGGACATTTTAAAAATGGGTTTATCATCTATCATTTAACATGACTACAAAAAGTTTCCTACACACACAACATTTTGTGGGGCCCACAGCAAAAAAAAAAAAAAAACTTCGGCACGCAAAACGAATCTCTATAACATAACACAATTACTTTTCCTACAATATAATTCTTATAAAACCCTTTAAAAATACATCAGTATCAGGTATTCCAATTCTTTGTTCGGAGTACTGTCCATGGACCTATTGAAACTTAAAATCTTGGAACCAAAAGCTTGTTTAGTACAACATTAGAAACAAATTTGAAAATAGATTCCTTTGTCCATCCATTACACAGAACAGGTGAGCCAGCTTATTTCAAAAGTATGAGTGTAATGAGGATAGAATCCAAATACCGTGAGTGAATTTTATTCAAGTTCATATATTCCGTGGATCTGGACTAAAGAAATGGTATGTTCACACACGTCCGATTGAACTTGAAATGCAGAATAAACTATATAAACCGTATTTCCCCTTCTCTTTCCTTGTTTCGTTTACTTCACCTATTAATAATATAATACAATGGGATTAATATTTCTCATGTCATAAGAGATAAATATTTTCTACCATGTAAAGAAAAGAGAGAAAAAAAACAAATATGGATTCTATATACTTTTATGCATGTGTATGAGATAAAATTATTTCCTAATCACGAGAAACAATAATTCCTATTACAATGTGTTACTATCCTAACTTCTTTTGTAGGTTTTCTCACATGAATGGTGGTGTCACTGCGTGTGAAGCCTTAACCCCAACGCAAGGGTTTAGCTGTTGGCAGCGCTGCTGCGAAATCACTTTGCATAGTAGGATTGGCAAAAATGAGCCAACTTGCCAGGTTGGCTCGTAATCCGTCAAAAATGAGCCGGGTTGAGTTGGCAGAAATGAGCTGCCAACCCGATTAAACACGCCAGCTCGCGGGTTGGTTTTTTTTTTTTACAAAAAAATAAAAAATATAATATACAAAAATGGACAAAATTCACTCATGTTGTCATCATCTTTCTTCCTTCTCTAAACCTAAGTTCCTAATCTTCTCACATCCCTGTCATTTTTATATTGTTAGGTTGTGCTGGATCTGTTTGATTCAAATATCTTACTCACTTGGTAGTAAGTGGTTCTGATTGTTTCTTGATGTTGGTGCAAATTTGTTGTGAAGAAAATTCGAAACTAGAATATTTTGTTTTTATTTCTCATTTTGTAACCTTTTATTTAAGCTGATGGAAGCCACATAGCTAGTACATTAATACTACAGGTTCATTTAAATAGGTTGAAAATGAGCCAACTTGCGAACAATTTTTGAGCCAACCCGCGAGCCAACCCTAACCCGACTCGGGTCGAGTTGGGTTGGATTTTCTGGCTCGTTTTGTTTTTCGAGTCAACCCTAACCCTGCTCATTTTTTTCAGGTTGCATGCAGGTTGAGCCGGGTTGAGTCGGATTGACCTGTTTTGCCAACCTTACCTTGTAGAAATATAGAAACCTTTTTGGAACAATTGCAAGTTACCCAAGAGAAAGTAAGTATTTGGTCATCAAAAATATGAAATAGGTAAATTAAAAGAAGAAAAAAGAGAGATCCTAGAACAGATAAATCATCACAACTTCAACTTTAGCCAATAAATCAAAAACTTTGTGATGGTGAAGATTCTTAAATCTTATTCAACTCATTCGCAATGTTGTGAGAGACACATTCGAACCGCCCTTTGTAATTTAAATAAGAATACCAGATGTGCAGATTGGTCAAGAGAACGTACCATCAGAACACTTGCCTGACTATACACATAATGTTGTGATGTGGAATTTTTTTTTTTTACTAATTTACAATTTGGATGCTGCTTCTCTCTTTGAATCATATGTTTTATCTCTCTTCAATCATTTTGCTTCCGCCACCAAAACCATATCAATTTTTACACATTTTGCACTTGCAACTCATGTAAAAAATTTCGTTGAAGTGCAGAAGAAAATATCTGGCATTTGACAACTAAAAGCGGTCAAATCCCAAGACCAACATCCAATGATCATGTGGAATTACCCATGGATATGTGTTAGCTATAATATCTCAAAGTTCCAATAACAAAATGACACACAAAAAAGAAGATAATTACCACAATTAGTGCCTGTAGAAAAAGCATCCCTTAATTATCATCGAAAGTTAAAAATTCTAACATCATGATATGAAAGCTCGGTTTAATGATATGGAAGAAAGGAGATCAAACTCTAAATAAATACAATATTGTAACAATCAATTAGTGTTACTATCAGTGTTACTACCAATCAATTTCACTCTTAGATCGATTATGTTGATCTAACGGCTATATTTATTTCCATCTTTGCATGGTTATGATTCCTCATATTTAATATTTAATATTTATTTTCACCTTTATATGGTTATGATTTTTCATATTTAATGCTTTCACACTAAATACAGGGAATCAACCATACAAAGATGGAAATAAATATAATCGTTGGATCAACATAATCGATCTAACGGTGAAATTGATTGGTAGTAACACTAATTGGTTGTTACAATATTTTATCCCATAAATATATTATGTCTATCTTCATATATATATATATATATATATATATATATATATATATATATATATATATATATATATATATGATGTCTAAAACAATCATGTCCATTTTGATGTTAATTTTATTCAACCATTCTTATAGTTTCCTTAGCCACTTACAACTCCATACCAACCCATATTCACATTAAATCATCACTTAGCATAATTTTTCTCTATTAAGCCTACAAGGCCGTGGGTTAAGCATACAAGAAGCAAAGGATTTTTCTTGCATTTCAAAGGTTCTAGGCATTCATATAGGTCCACCTTAATTGGTACAAACACTCTCCACATCAAATCATCAAGCTAACACACAAGTTTGCACAATTTTCCTCAAAACTCCCCACATGGCTGAATCCACACCTTCCATAATCCAAGGGATTTTCAATTGATTTTCAATTATTCAATGCATCATTCATCATGTAATCAATTATCCTTACTAATCCACAATTCATTTTGATCATCTTCATTAATTTTTTTACAAGAAAACTATGTTCATCCATCAACATTTTCCCAAGTTAAACAATATCAAATGCCTTAAAATTTTATTGGATTTTCTTACACAAGACATCATTCCAAGCAATAAATTCCAAAGGGAACTTGTCATTTAAAACCTCTAAATAGCTCCATTCAATAACACATATTCAAGAACACACTTCAAATTTTGATTCACTATAAAACTCAATCAAAATCAAGAAAATTCACCACCAATCAAGTCACAAGACTCCAAGAAATGAGTTTCAAGTGTACAACCAAGCAAACAAGCTCTAATGCCATTGAATTTCTCCAAAACCGCCACCCTCATCACAAAATGATCTCCTCACACACTCACTTTTAGGAGGATTTCACGAAAAATATTCACAAGAGGGAGGAGAATAACTTTGATTTTCAACAATTTTTGATTTGATGAGTAGAAGTGAGTGAAATTTTTGATTTGATTTTCAACAACTTTTAAAGGTAATGTATCTCTTATGTTGCAGGGCAACAAAAATTGTTCCTTTCATGTTGTTGTGTTTTTTTTTTATCTTCTGGTGTGGGTCATGCACTTTATTATGTTTGCATGACAGCTTTCTATTCTCCTACTTCAGGAAAATTATCAACCCTGATTTTTTTTTAGTATGAAAACATATAATTAGACTATAACAAAATCATTTTAGAGATGACTCAATATTAAACTCTTTACACAATGACATATGCAAGCATATAATATTCAAACATTTGTTTTTAAAATGCTCATACACTAATAACGATATATTAATTAATTAATTAATGGTTTAATATTATTTATTCTGTAAAGTTTTGTTATTAATAAACTTGAAACATTAGTTTCTGTGCTATTTAATTATAAAAAGACAGTATGTATAAAATAAATAAATATAAAAGACAAATATGAAATGATAAATGATATATAAAAGAAGTGTTGCGAGTGAGCAATAAGAAAAGGGGTAATTTGGTAGAAGTAGAAGAAGCTGCTAATCAGTGAGGTGAGGAGAAGAAGAAGAAGAAGAGGAAGATGATGGGTTGTGCTGCTTCCCCAACTGTATCGGTCTCCTTCAAGCTGCCCCAGCTACCACCATCTCGCACATCCAAGCCCAAGCCCAACCCCAACCCCAACCCCAACCCTGGTTATAGTTCCCTTTCATTTTCGTGGCTTTCTTCATTTCCTACTTTAAACATTCGCACAAACCCTATCAATCCCAATCCTTCCCTCTCCAAAGTAACTACTCTCCTTCCCTTTCTCTTCAATTTCCAATTTTCTGCTTCTGATTCTCTAATCCAGTTTAATGATGGAATTGTTGCTCTTCAAGAATTATAAAAGCATGAAGCATCAGAATTTTTTATTATTTCTCTGCTTTATATTAGTTTGATTTCCACTTCTCACAATTTAAGGCTTTCTTTTGCATATCTGTTACAAATTCCTAAATGCACATTTTTACCTTTTAATTCCCAAAAGCAAGGCAAAGGGGCTTTTCCATTTTATCATGCTGCTCTCTTGGGCTAACAAAACAAATTTAATTGCCAAATGAATAATCACATAATTCTCAGTCTCAGAAAAACTTCGAGTTTATGTGTGCTATGTCGTGACAGTAATCACGTCACACGCTCTCTCGGGCTTGTTTTTCTGTGATGTTCTGAATTTCTGAATTGTGAAATCTGAAAAATTTGGACATGAAGATTACATAGAAAACAGTGGCAGTTTATAATTATTCTCATGCTTTGTGTTGTGTTGTGTTGTGTTGTGTTGTGTTGTGTTGTGTTGACATGAATGAAGAAAAGTAAGTCATTCTAACATCATGTGTAGGGTTCCATCATTCGAGCTGCGTGGACCCGAAGATCTCGAGGTGAAGCGGCAAAGAAACCTAACAGGAAATCATGGAAGCAGAGGACAGATATGTACATGAGACCATTCTTATTAAATGTTTTCTTTTCAAAAAGATTTATTCATGCAAAAGTGATGCACCGAGGAACAAGCAAAGTCATATCTGTTGCTACCACAAATGCCAAGGATCTTCGAAACTCTCTTCCATCCTTGATTGATCATAGTGCTTGTAGAGTAATTGGAAGGCTTATTGCTGAGCGATCAAAGGAAGCTGATGTATATGCAATCGCATATGAACCCAGAAAGGATGAAAGAATTGAAGGTAAACTTGGGATCGTTCTTGATACCATTAAAGAAAACGGAATTATTCTTGTCTGAGCCCATTAGCCTCCTTCTATTGCTTGTTACAAATTCTCTCTGAGTATGGATTTTTTTTTTTTTTTTTTTGTGCGTTACTTTGCTACTTGATGAATTAGAATATTGTGGTTTTATTTTGGCAGCGGTGTGTATCATATTTACTTGTTAATCTATTGTTTACATATTACAGCAGGCAAAGATATAGAGATAGAGAAATGTTTAACGTAATAGAGAATGGAGGATTTGAGTTTGAGCAGCAGAATAACAACATTATTGTTTTAAGTTCCTAGGAATTTATGTTAAAACCATAAGGATTGTTTGATAGCTGAGAAATTCTGAGTATTAATGAATCCGCGGGGAATATTACCAAAAAATTATTTAATTATTTGGTGGGCCAAATTATTATAAGAGACATCGGCTCAAGTTTTCTGAATTTATGTTTGGTTGATTGTCAATGATTTATGTGAATGTGGATTGATTTTACAAAATTAATTAAAAAAAATTCTGATATACCACAAAAGGGTCAAAATGTGACGTTGGGGTCACTGGCTTGGAGCAGAGGAACCCATTAAAAACGCGTCGTGAAAGGAAAGAGAGGAATCCACAATTTTGAGAAGTAGTGTAAACTAAGGCTTTAACAAGAGAGAGTATTCTAGTCTTGAAAATATTAGAGCAGAGTTATTTATATTTTATAAATTATGTAAAAATTTCCCACCAATTGGGAATTCAAGAATACCACCAACGGTATTATTTCGTAGGATTCTTATTCTGAAAAAAATTAAGAATCATTGTACCAAATATGGGATAATTAAGGGTCTGTTTGATTGTGTTTTGATTTTTTTTGTTCTTAAGACTGTTTTATAAAATAGTTATGGTTTTCTATATTTATTTATTTTTGAAAGTTAAAAATCAAAACAGAAAACAAAAATAACTCAGACATGTTCTTTAAATTTGATTCTAAAAATAAAAAAATAGTTATAGTTTTCAAAATATCTTTTACAAAACAAGTTTTTTAATTTTTTTGTTCTGAAAACTAAAAAACTGTTTTTAAAAACAATAATCAAACAGATCCTAAGATTTTCAATGTAAGCTTCATGGAAATCTAAGATTTATCTCTCAATGGCCCCTAAAATGCCCCCGAATAATTTGATTTGTTCACCTTCACAAACGTCGAACGGACAGTCTAATTAGCGTTTTAAATAATGTTGTCAAGCCTGCTGGTTTGAGTTGTATTTACATAACTATGGAATAATTACTCAATCAAAATAATATTTAATACTGTGAAAGCTTATTCTTTTTGTCATAAATTTGTCTTTGATCGAACTCCTGTCATACATAGGCATATATACAAAATTACATTCAAGAAGATTCAAGTATCAGAATTCGTGGACGTGAATTTCATTCAACAAATAAAATGAAGATTGAACTCATTATTTACTTTACTAACGGGAGGAATTATAGTCAACTTGTACATACATAAGATTGTAAATATGCATATTTTACTGTTTATTTCAAAGCTAGACGTGAGCAATGAGCATGGTTCAGGATTTTACAAACAATAAATAAAATGAACATTACGAATTTCAAATATTACAATTTTCGAGTGCATCCAGTCCATGAAGCATGGATACCATAAGATGAAACTTCAAACCTTACATAATTCAACATAAAAAAACTTAGAAATTATAGCGGGACACTTTAATTGCATACCTTAGTTACCGACTCGTTGGACCAACCTTTATCATGAGTGAGTTTTTCGGGTTTCCTTCATCTCTCCAGTAATCTACTTTGCCTACCCATTTCTATGCACCCTGATTTGCGTATTCCCTTTGTCATAGATGAGTAAAGTACAAAATAAACAGTTCAGGTAAAGTTAAATAAAAATGTGAACTGCCCTTCACTGTCTGTTTAGCAACTAGTGCGCCATAACTTTACAAATGACGCAGGCAATTTTTTCGTACAATGTGAGGGGGCAATACAAAAGTAACAAAATGATCCTACCACAGTTCATCAATAAGAATATTGTAATTTACAAGGAACATGCTAGGTCTATCATTTTCCTTAGTTCTCTTTCATTTTTCACTATTGCTATTTATTTACTGAGATATCCAGTTTCCCAATCCAGTGGTATGGACTTGTCTTCATTCGCAAATGCTCGATCGTGTCAACTGTCTAGTGAATCTATTCGATGTCCTTTATAGCATCCTGCATTATAACGTTAAAAAACGTTGGGTTACTAGCGACTCAGATCAGGCATTAACTAATGGTGATAGACTCATTAATGCAACAGCTTACCTATCTTTATAAAGTAGAAACAAGTAAATTACAACAATATTATTATTTACTTTATCATCACTAATCCGAAGAAAGTGACTTCTAGAAAAGAATGGTGGGTGTGTCCATATCTATAATTAATACAAACTGCAGGAGAGGAGGGATTGAGGGAAGGGGAAGATTGGCTGCAAAGGCAAGTTGGCCTCGCCCAGGTTTGAATCTACGTCAGGACTATAAACATTGCATTGTAATCAGCACCTTGCGAAATGTTAAATATTAAAACATGCAGACATCTGGAAGAAATAAAGAAAAGATAATAGTGAAAAGAGAAAATGATGGTTAAAACAAGAAACAACGGAATTTAATCATGTAGAATTTATATTCATCTTCTAGATCCAAATGAAGCTTATACTAGCCAAGCCCAGCCTCAAATCATATCACGTCATCAGCAGATTGTTCAATATTCACCCAACCTCAGGACATCCTGAACTATCGATTATTAATCATCATGGTAGCAAAGAAAAGCAAGGGTCGATTGTATATGACCAATCAGATATAGAATACTATCCAAGTCTATGCATCAATATTCAACACAGTATGCACGTTTTCCCCCAAGATAAAGAAACAAAATCTAAACAACTACATGCTCCCAATTGTAGACACCCTAAGAGGGTAATCATGATATATAAGGGTAATCATGATATATGTATATGTTCTTTAATTCTGATGTAGATGAGGGATAATACCTTTGCAAGTCGGGTGACATATGCAGCAGCAAATGCAGTGACCAACAGTCCCAGCCCAAGCGTCAGCAGCTGACTGTTTCCTCCTAATGCATTAAGTTCAGATTCTTCTTTCTGAAATGCAGAAGCAGTAGTTACATTAAAGAGGCAATCAATGAAATTTCTCCCTATCCATAATTAAAAGTAAAAACAAAATCATTAATTTAATGAATTGCAAAAGAGAAGGGCAAAGAAATCACTTCAATACTGCTTAACACACAAGACTTGTAGTACATATCCTCCAGGCAAAAAACCCTGGCAAATAATACTATTGCATTAAAATAGTAAGCAATGTAAGCAAAGCAGATAATTTCACCAACAACATAATGTTAACCATCCTGTTAGAATATTAGGATTCTGATTGTTTTAGGAGTCTTATGATGCTAGGAGTCTTATTGGGCTGGGCTTATACCAGTTGAACTACACTAGGAATTGACTTAGATTATTAGTATGAATAGGTATTAGTGGTTTGCATCTATACCAGATCATATCATAATAATAACGACTGTAGAGTCTCCCTTCTCTCTTTTCTATCTTTTCCCTACAATTACTGTTTCCGCTTCCGGGTCCCCAATGGAACTCCTTTGTTTAATTGTTTGTTCACCATTAATTTCCAGTGGCTATATTCATTTTTTCCAACCACCAGTCAAGTTGTATTGAAAACCCTTCATTATCCTTTTTCTTCCTATGCTGTGCCTTAGATCCGTAGCACTTTCAACCCCCCCCCCCCCCCCCTTTTTTTTTCTTTTTATTCTCGCCAATATCTTTCCGGCCTCTGTTTTAATGGAGCCATCATCAGAAATGCTCCAGGTCTGCATATCCAGTGTGCGAGAGCACCTGGAACTCCTCTTTGAGCAGTGACTTCAACAGACATAGGTCAACCATCCTTTTCTGGTCTAATCCATTCCCTTGTGCCTCTGTCATTCTCTGGTCTAATCCAGCCAGAGAAGCTTAGGAAGAAAGCATCTGACCATCCATATTCAAACCAGCCAAACAATTTGTAGCCAAATTAATCTTCAAACATGAGTGTGAAAGATTCCTTAAAGAACTAGATGGCACACAGATCATTCACAGAAATGTCACTATCCTCCTCCAGAAAAGAACAGCATCATCAGGAAACAGGTGAGAAACCATAAACTCATCTGAACCTACTTTATATCATATAAGAGAAACCTAAAGCAGCCTATCAACCACTAAAATCAACAACAATGTTTTCTTTGTATGCTAGAGGCCAGAAAACTCTAAGAAAACTGCAGTAATATATTTTGTTAAGAAATAATGCCTAACAGCACGTCAACATGCCTTTCAGCATCATCCATTTCTTTCTTTATTACCATCCCATACTCCTCCCATGAAACACACACAGAAAATGATGAAAAGAAGAAAACAAGAACGTGAAGCTAACCGACGGCCAAGAAAATTCTAATAATGATTGAATAGCTAAAATACCAAGAATACTAAAACATCGGAGGGAAAACCAAGTACAAACTCACAATTATTGCTCTTCCAAAAGCGCCAGCACTAACATAAGCCCATGTTCCTGGAAGCATCCCCAACCAACTGCATGACATTTATTAATTAGTTTTAAATCAGAAATTCACGAGAATTATACATGTTCAAATGTAGTTCAAGATAAATAAACTGCGACAACCCCAATTAGATATACAACTTAACCAAAATATTCCAAGTTTCATTATTAACTTCATTTCATTACAATATAGCTATAATATGCTGCAAATGATTAATGACATTTTATAGCAACATAACCTCTCTTTTATGAACCAAAGCAAAGATAATTTTTATGAAATTGTGCCTAGTCCGAATTGTCACAATTTTTTTTTTTTTACCTGATCGTAAGTTCCATGCTCTCAGTATACTCATCAGTTCATGAAATCACTATTGCCAGATATTAACAATAATTGAATAGCAATGCATTTTCTCCGGAATCAAGATTAATCTATATATATTGCATGTCAAAATTTAGTCCGTTTATGCTGAGAGGTTATATCACTTGTTACAAAAAAACACTGTAGTTTAAAGACTTATGCACATAAGATACCATTCATAACAAGTAAAATCATCAAAACGGAACTATGAATATTCTAAATTTCTAAAAATATGGATTACTGAAAGAATATGAAAGATTGGTGTCTTATATTGGAAAGAAAGAAACAATTAATTCCATTATTCCAACACTAAGAACCAACCAATTAACATCTTGACACACACTAAAAAGCGTGGGAATCATCCTTTTATTAATATTATTAAACAATAAAATTAGAATTTTAAACCGGTAATTATATAATTAACCGTTTATCAATTATTTTGATTACTTATGTTTGGTCAAAGGAAAAAGAAAGTTTATAATAACTACAACTACCCATTTTTTAGGATAATGTTTGTATGGTGGTGAAGAAAAAAACACAAAATCTAACTTTTAGCATTACATACTAAAATAGATAAGCTCAGTCAAGCATGATATGATTTTGTTCTTTTCTATTCCTGTTTAACCATTTAGATGAATTGTCCAAGAAGGCAAGAACACATGGCAACTTATAAAGTCCAGAGCTTATTTTTAAATAGAGAATGTTCTCTCTAAAAGTGAAGTAGTATCGAGATTAAAAAAGACATGGAAATCAGTATAAAATTGGTATTGATCAGTAATAAGCAACACACCTTCCCAATACATATGGAATAAACTTAACAGATGTCAATCCATATAAATAATTCCCCAAAGAAAATGGCAGCAAAGGGCTCAGACGAAGCAGGGTAACAACCCTGAAGCCATTTTCTCCAATTGCTTTGTCAATAGCAAGAAACTTCTTGTTTCCTTCCACCAGTTTTAGAATACGCTCACGAGCAAAATATCTTGCAATTAGAAAAGCAACACTTGCTGCCACCTGTAATGCGTTATAATATTAGTTTCAATAATATACATACATCTAGAATCAATTAACGTAGACAAAAAGAAATGAACTCACCGTTCCGCTGATAGAGACTATGATAGTGCCAATAAAAGATCCAAAAAGAAGTCCAGCTGACAAGGTTAAAGGAATGGCAGGAATTGCAAGGATCTGAGACAACATTAAAAAAGGAGTCAGATTGAACATTAAACATCTAGTCCATGGTCATTATTCTGATGTACAAACTAGAGAGGGAAGAACAACATGTGCACGGGAAGGTTATGAAATACTAAGTTGAGTGAAGAGTTACAGAGAATTGAGATTGAGGGGAAGTGGTAGATGCATTGATACCTCCAATCCAGCATAAACTGCTACAAATAATGCATATCCAGCTGGACCATAACCTGCGATACACGGGATTAATTTAGAGGACAGACATAACATGATATGATAGTATAAGTTCCCAGAAATTTAAATGAATGAAAAGAATAAAATAAAGACCTTCTATGAAGAGTGAGAAGTGGTTGAGGAAGGAATTGATGTTGTCCTTGTATATATAACCAACGGAGGCAAAACCCCCAACAATACCGAGCAAGAGTACACCGGCCAAAAGGGTACCCTTCAAGGCAGTGTCACTGTCACCCTCCGACTCGGTTTCTCCTTCATTCTTATCGCCATCATTCTTTGGGCTAAATAGGCGCTTTATGCCAGGTGGGGCAGTGTTGATCTTGATCTTCCCTAGTTGCTGTTGCTGTTGCTTTTTGGTCTGTCTGAGGGAAGAGCATGGTGTGAGCAAGTGAAATCGTTTGTGGGGTTTGAAGATGAAAGAAGAAGAAGAAGGTGGAGAGAAGGGAAAGTGGTGGTTGTTGGGGTTGGGGTTGGTGTGACTGTGAATAGAAGAGGAGAGGCACGGCAACGTGAGAATGCGCATTATATGAAACTACGGATGAGAGCGGAATGGATGGAAACAGCCTCGGCCTCTGTCCCTGCCTCCCACTCCCATATCAGTATCTCACACATTTCTACTCTTTTTGTGGTTCTTATTATCTCTCCACAAATAACTCTGAATTTCGCTATCTTCAAATATATTATTGTGGACTTCCTTTTAATTTTGTCATTCTATCTAAAAAATTTGCAATTTATTCTTTATAGTTTGAACGATATGGACTAGTACCATAAATCATATTTATTCATTATTTGGTCTCAAGTTAACAATCTTTATAGTTAATAAATAGTTATATGGGATATGTTATTTTATCTATCTTTTTTTTTGTCTACTTTTATTTATCACTTTTCAATATTATTATATCATAATCTCAACTACTTTTACCATTTCTATCTCCTATTAAGATTCTGATATAATAATGTAAGAAAGTGATACATAAAGGTAATCAGAAAAAAAAAATATATATATATATATATAGAATAACTTATTCCTGTATCCCTAATTATAATTACTAAAAAAAACTAACTAGTTATTTATAAAGTTGTGAAACTCGCCATCTTATTTGGCATAAAAATATTATTGGAAAAAATATAACAATAATGATATATAAGTGTAATACTGAGGCATTTGTAATAGGCTAAATCACATGAACTTGTGTGATTTTTCAAATAACCACCTCAAAATTTTGATTGATACAATTAACTATGTACTATAAAATTAAAACAATTAAACATATTTAAAAAATTTAAGACATAAATATTAATTCACCAACAACCATTACAGTTGTCTATCACTTCAGCCATGGCATGGTTTCAACTAACCGAATAAAATCCATGTCTGATGTTTTCCTCCTTCGCTTTCTCGGGGTATCTTCTCCATTGGGCAGCATCGAGGACGAAGTGGGAATTATTAGGGTGCTGCCAACGTACACGATGGTGATTGGTGTTGTTCCAGTGCATGTGGCTTCTGTCGTTGTTAGTTCAGCGTGCTCAAGCAAGTAAGACTCATGCTGGAATTTGTTGCCCAACTCCTGGGTCAGCTGGAAGACCTTACCGGCGTACATCGTTGGCATTCAGATTCTTCAATTGCATCTTTTAACCTTTTAGTGGGGGTCCTTAGAAGGTTTCTTCGTTGCCATTGACATCGTGAACAACATGTTTTCCTGTGACTAGTAAACTTGTTCCAATGAAACCACTGTCAGCTCTAGCGAGATAACCATTGGTGTCGTCATCTTAGAGGGATAAATATCAATAGTGTGGGTGTGATTTTCTTCGCTGAAATCACCGTCGTAGGTAGGATTCACTTATATCCTCAGTGAAAAAAATCTCAAGAATTTTAGAAAGACCCGTAAAAATATAATATAAGAAACACTAAAAAGATTTTTAATTTACAAATTTCAATTATTTTTAATTCGCTTATACGATGATATTCAATGATTGATTTCTTCACTCTAGAGTTTCATGCCATTTGTAACCCAATGTAAAAACACCTTTAACAGTTCTTTAATAGAGAAAGGCCTAAATCAATTTTTTTAGGTTGTATAACAGGAGTAGATTTCTTTTTTGGATAATTTTTCAAATATGTGACTGGTGAAAGGTGGGTGGCAATGGTTGGAGGCCAATGGTAGCAGGTGGTGGCTAGCAATAATAATGGCTGTTAATAGGTAAGAATAAGGGCAAAAATGTCTTGAAATGTTCATATATGTTTAATTGCCCAAATCTTATAGTGTATGGGCGTTTATTGTTTTAATTGAAAATAGTGGGTGGTTATTTGAAAAAGCACTTAAGTTTATGATGATTTTATGCAATTTAACCTTTGTAATATTATATATTTGAGATTTTTAAGAGACAAGCAAATATTTATCTGAATGATTATTTTTAATTTTAGTTTGTTTGCATTTTAATTTCAGTTTTCATTGCCATTAAATGGATTTTCTTTTTCTTTCTGATAATTGTTGAGCTATACATTATATGAATTTGGACAGTTTACTTTTGATGGATCATTCTAGTTAGGCTGAGTTCTTGATTCTTAGATTATTTGACTTGGTAGTTTAATTTATGATGCTAATTATGTGATTTGGTATTCACTCTTGTGAGATCTTTGAGCCTGTATGAATGGAATTTATATTTCTGTCATTCTTTCTTTGTTGTGTGCTCTTCTCGTGATTTTTCTCTCTCTAGAACTTGCTCCTTTTTTTTTTAAACTGCACTTTTCACTTGCATGCATAAATATGATAGAGGTCTTCTTTCTCATTTCCCCATTTTGGCCAGATAGCCCCTCTTGCATTATATTCCCTTTGGTTAGTCCCTTTGGTGGTGTTTGGTTGGGAGCTTTTCAGCAGATATCTATGTTTCTCAAGTATGACTTTTAGAAACACCATGTTTGTTTCAACGTATTTTCACCAAAAACCCATCTATCCGATTTGTATGGATTTATGAGAAACATAGATATCCGCACTGTTTAGAAACCCAATTTGAAGGTGGGATTTTTCGGAAAACCGGTTATCTGGCCTTTAATGCACTGTTGATTTCATAAAGTTACCTAATTTTCCCAGTAAAGTTTTTTCCCACCAAACAACTTTTTTTTGCATTTTTCTACCTATCTCACTTTATCTATCTTTCCAATCATTTCTCTATCTATTACATTTCCCTACTATTTCAAAAAAAATTCATCAACCAAACGCCCCCTTTGTGCCTTTTATATCATTCTTTTTCTATCCATGTTACAAGCCTAAGTGTAAAATCATGTGATCCACCACCTTGAAAATTTATTGAGAATTGGTTTCACCTTAACTTTGTGTTTAAGTGTAGGAGTTGTTCGAGGCGTGCAATATTTCAAGTGCGGGAGAAGGTATTTTATTTTGTTTCATTCATCGCATTGGTTGGGTCATTGTGTTTGCATAATTAGCTAAATTCTAAATATATATATATATATATATATATATATATATATATATATATATATATATATATATATATATATATATATATATTGCAAAAATTGCAAGAGAAAAAAATGTTGAAAAATATATATAAGAAAAACACTGAAAAAATTAGAAAAGGAAAAACAAAAAGAGAATGTTTATTTCAGTGACTTTATGTTCTTTGTTAGTCTTTATCTTTGTTTAACCTTTGTTTTATTTTTATTTTAGTTTTGTTTCCTTAGTTTAGTTCTTAACTAGTGCTCTTTTAAATTTCTTGGGTGCATAGCCTCTCATTTCCATACTTAATCCATACCTTCTCCCTAGCCCCAATACAACCTTGAATAAAAAGTCCTCTTGATTTGTGCATTCATGTGTTTTGAGGAGTGGGAAATAGAAGTTAAGCAAGCTTATGGTAAGATAATTTTCTTGAGTTGAATTTGAGTGATACACTGATTTACCCTATACACTTAGAGAGATTGATTGAGTGCATCCCGTGAGAAATCATATTGCGTGATTAGCATTATTAAATGAGATTACCATGTTTTATAATTTGAGATGAAGAAATTTTTGTCCTGATTGGTTGATCTTTTGAAGCTTTGTGATCCTTGTTCAATTTTTATATTATTCTTGGCAATTGTTAGAAAGGATGGATTTATCTTTTAGTTTTTACTTTTATTTTGTTATTTCCTTAGTTTTACTTTGAGTCTTAATCTTGCTGATGAGTGCAGAAATATAAGTGTGATAGAATTTGATAATTGATATTTATTACACCTATTTGTTACTTTTGATTAGTAATTTTATGATTATTGTTGTGCAATTTGCAATCAATTAAATCAATCACACAAATACGCAAGTGCATGTGTCACAAGTAATAAAGGGATATGTGAGTCCAAGATCGTTTCCACGGAGATGATTTATAAAGCAATGATTATTTAAGTAAAGAAACTATAAAAGTATTAATTTTTATGGTTGAGTTTGTAAAATAAAAGATAATTAAACTAAGAAAACAGTAAACTAATTCTAAGGTATTAAAATGATGGATGAGATATAGGTCATGTTCAATTTCTCTGATACAGCAATATTGAAATGACGCTTTAACGATGTTATATCAATGTTTAATCAGTAACCGAACACTAAGGTATGCTGGGGCTTTTGGCCAACTTAACATATATACCCAATAACTAATTCTCACATCTCTATGGGTAAACTAATTACTGAATTGTTAAAGTGCAAGTTCAAAGGCAATGTGGTGTGAATGATCTCTCTACCCACAACTTAATCAAGTTAACTTTCTTAACCTCATTAATCCACACAATTCAACAAGGGTCTGGATTCGGAAACCTCTCGGCCCCAACCTCCTCAATATCATATATGTATCTCTCGACATGCACACATGAATAAGATTAAGCAAACTCGTTGAAAAACTAATTAAACATTAATAAAACAAAGTTTAGGCATACATCTCAATGTTATAGCATAGGTACTTTATCACCTAATCTATAGAGCAATTTAGCTCATAATGAAATTAAATAAAACAGAGAAAAGGAAGAAAGAACTCATTGGAAAACAGAAAAGAAGATGAAAACGAATGCTGATAGGAAAACTTCGTCACGGTCTTGCTCCAACATTACTCCAGCAGCTCTTCCTCCTCCGAGAATCTTACTTTCTCTCTCTAAAACGTGGGTGTGGGGTACTACATTCTTCCATGCCTTCTTGAATCGTAATGTAGTCCTCTTTAAATAGGAAAATGTGGTTGGTTAATTGGGCTTTAGGTTTGGGAGCGAAATCCATGAGTTATGCTGCTGCAGCCTTATCTTATCCCTATTTTCTTGGGTTGTTGGCAATTGATTGGATAAGATCTTGATCTTCTTGATTTTATTCTGCCAATATTGTTGCTGATTTGATAAGAGTTTGTTATCCTTGATTCTTGGGATTTTGAGATAAGAATAAATCTTCAAAAAACGTCCCTTATCCTTGCTTGCTGGTGTCTTATCCAATTGTTAGGAATAACTAACTTTTGAATTTTGAAAATTCAGTTGTTCCCTTGTCCACGCTGTCATGTTGTAGTCATTTCTATATCATTACTTCGTTAGCTTCTCTGCTACAGCATTCTGACGTTAATTTTTCCTGCAAAGTCAAACACTTAACAAGTCATATTTTCTTATACAAAA